CTAAATTCCCTCCCGCAGCCAAGCTGGCCTCACAGCTGTCAGGACCCACCTTTTGCAGCCCCTCAGCTGACACCCTGCCAGGACGGCCCTAAGCACCTCATCCTCCTGCGAGACGCTGAAGCCCAGGTCTGCCTGCCCCGTTACGCCAGCACAGCCTCTGGTGCCAGTCGGTAAGCAGAGCTGCGTTCACTGGCTCTCTCTGCACCTGCTTGCTGGTCTGCACTGCTCTGCCATCTCGCTGATGTTTTTAGTGAGCTGCTTTGAACCTGGGACTCCATCTCTGTCCATGTTCATACAGTGCCTAACACAGGCACAGCCTCTATTTGGGAGCAGGGCTCCAGAAGCTTCATCAGAGTATGTTTAATAGGGAAGCATAATCCATACATGGTATGCAGCGCTCTCAGGCAGGGTTAAGTATGAGAGGGCCCACATGCCTTATGGAGTGGTCTCAACCCATGCTTCCATCTGTACAACTGCCTCATCGTAAATGTGTGCCTTGATCATGAATCATAACTACTCCCACCACTTGAAGCCTAGACCAATTTTGGGGAACCATTGTTTCTTAAAAATAAGCCAGTAATGCAAATCTAGGAAAGGGAGAAGACACATCATGAAATGTCCAGAGATGACACAGAAAACAAGCAGAACTGCTCCCAGTTGCCATTTTCTTAAACAAGAACACCTCAAGCCAACACTGGCTGCATAAAATTTAAAATTGCTCCTGGTCTTTTTTTTCCTACATGCTGCTTTCATGTATCAAACAGACCATAGGGACCTCTCAGAGAAATTCTGTTTTCATGGGACTAAACACTGTTCACGTGCTTCTCCGTCTGGATCAAGCGCTAGCTCTTCGCCTCTGTTTCAGAAACACACCACCTCTAGTTTCCATTGGGAAGGAGGTAAAAATGTCCTTGTATCAAATTTTTGGTGTTTCACTGTTTTTCAAGACTAGTTAATTATCCCTTTTCCCTGCCTAGTACGACTGAGATTACTAAACTAAAGCTGTGCAAGGGCCAAGAGGAAAAAAAGAATGAAATTGCCAATGATTAAACCCAGTTTGGGAAGTTAAAGCTGTGACTGCTGTACTCTTGCTGTAAAAGTTAACAAAATCAAAATAAAGCAACAGCTTTGCCAACATTACCAGGATCCAGAGTACTCCTTCTGGGTACTACATTTCAGCTCTCCATAATTCCAACAATTTTGGCTTTGCTTACCAATAATGATTTACTGGCACTTATTTATATTTACCAGGGAGGGAATAGAAACCACAGTACATTCGCAGCCAACATGCAAAACTCCTTGTTCAGTGACTTAGAAAAACAAAGATGCATTTCCAGGGTAGTACTCACATTTGGAACATTCTCAGTCCCTCTCTGCCATACCCACAGACCCTCTGCATTTAAAATATGTACCAAATCCCTTAAAACTAAGTTTCTATGAGGCTATATATAATCCTATAGAAAGCTTCTAACATCTTTGTTAAACCACAAATCTAAATTTCACTTGAAGAAAATCACAGCATTCCTTCTGTTTTTTTAGCATATTCAAGTTGTGAATATGGCTACTGAAAAGAAACAGACCTAATTACAAAAGAAATTGTGACATAATTTTCTCTATTTATTTCTTATCAAGAAGTTTTCACATACTGTTTGTGCCATTTGAACCCTTTTGGAAATCCCGAAGATATTTTCCTCATTCATATATTGAAATGTGCAGCTGACAGCTTTGTGCCATTAAGCCTTTAAAAATTTGATTAAACAGATATATGTGTACAATGAAAAGAGAAGCAAAACAAAGTCTCAGTAATCACAGATTTACCCTCTTTGTTAAAATGTTGGATGTCAGCTACACAAAATACCATAATATTTTATTATAGAGATGTAAAATCATTCCATACAGTCTTCCAAATATCCAACTTGTGTTTCAGACACAGATACCACGAGAGAAAAAGTCTCCAGCTGTCTAGAACTCCAAATTCTCTCATTTGTACTGTCATTTAACGTAAGACAAAATTTAAGACCAGACTTTAACTGTTTCCAAATGTTTTTGTGTATGTTTCTGCTGAAACTTTTAACCATTATCTAGCACCAGATTTCTTAAACAACAAATATACCCACTGAGTTCCTTTAATTTTGTGTTCAGACATTTTTCTGTTGAATGCTTGGTATCATAATCATGGTAATATAAATACTTAATGATTTTGAGAGCAAAAGGATCTTGGGCAAATTGCAAGTACAAATGATTTTATGCACTGATACACAGAAAACTCTTAATCCTGTGGGGTAATGACTCTATATATTGCAGTAGCAAAACCAGACTCAGATTATAACTTTAACTGTAAATCTCTGAAGAAACTATTCATCCTTTGAAACGATCTTACAAAAACTAAATACGAGCTTTACTGAGGAAAAATTTCTCCACGCACTGCAGAAACCTGAACCTGTGTACATGTGGGAAATGCAGAATACTGCACTGAAACAAAACAGAAGGGGCTTAAAAGTCTTTTCTCTAATCCTAGTATGTGTTAGCCTTTTTTTCTGGAAAAGACATAACACAATGCAAAAAGTAACTTAGTTTAAGCATTACTTTCTTTGAGTCCCACAAATGCACACAACCTCCCACGGGGGTTGTGAGTGGCCTAGGAGCATATGTGACCGATAAAACACTCCAAGTCGATAACCGAGATAACACCCCAAGCACTTTTCAAGCCCAGGCAAGCTGACGTCTCAGTTTGACCCACTGACTTAAGCTTTGCCTCTCAGAAAGAAAATGGTTTATTTCAGGGAGGGCTGCAGGAAAGGGTACACATCTATTTTGAATGAGAATTCAGCAACAAAAATGAAAAATTAAGAATTTTAGTCCTCGTCCTATGTTGCTTTATTTTTCCATTTAAAGATAATTGGAGCATTACAGTTGATAGACCTATGAAATAACTTATTACTTAGGCATTTTACCTTTTAAAGTCATTAAGTCTGTATGTTATGGTGCAATTTACAATAAAGAAAAAAACACCTTTAGTGATATATCAATAATTTATTGTTTTGCATAAGAAGGTAGGATCAGATTTCAGGTAAGTCATCAACCATGGATCTGATGGCGAATTCAAGTGTAGAGCTTGGTACAATATTAGAAAATACCACCCTTTGTTTGACTATGGCAAACAGCTAAAACACAATAAAACATCTGGACTTGACTGTCAAAACATACAGTTCTCGAAAAACCCACACAGCACAACTTGAATATGGGGAATATTGGAAACATGTTGGGTCGTCTTCATTCCCAAATTCTTAGGAGTCAACGAACAATCCGCCCTGCTCCCTGGTAAACCAGAACAATTCAGCACATGGGCTCCACCATGATAAGCAGAGGCTCTTGTCCTGTTGAAACCACTGGACTAAGTTATCTTTTCTGCCTTGATCTACTGTCATCTCTGTCTGCTTCATGGAGGCCAGTGGCTTCAATATTTTTTTTTTTTTTTGAAGCTAACACTGCGATAATGTTGATTTTCAAGAGCAATCCAGTAATTTAATTAAAACTGTTTCTCGCTCCTGAAAGACTGTGCACACATTTTACTCTGTTGGTTGGATTTATGTTTTTGTGATTCCCTTTCTTTTGCAGGTGTTACAATTCAGGAATTAGCTCCTGGCTTGGAGACAGGGCAGGCAGCCATCTGTCTAGCAAACTCCTGCCAGGACTGTGCTGAGGATCAGAGGGTCACTGTCTCCGTACATGCAGCAAAGCACCGCGCTGTGTACTGCTGCCCGGCACAGCAAACCTGGGTAGAAGGTCCTCCTAGACCACACTGACCAAGGAATGGGAATTAAATTAACTTCAAAAGGACAAGAAAAACAGCCTGCAGGACAGCCAGAACTGTTTCTACCAGGGAGTTTGCAGATTATTCTAGCAATTATTTCTCAAAGAGAAGAGCAGGTCCCTCATGTGAGCATTATTGTACACTAATGTTCTGAGACAGCCCGGGTTTGTAGCAGTGTTAAGGGTGTTTCAGTAAGGACTAAAGCCCCTCTTGGTGGAAATGGGCAGATCCTGAGAGATGCTGAGTGCCCTCTCAGCTTGGGTTGGTTGCAAGAGATGCTGAGGGCACTCGATGTCTCGCAGGCAAAGGCAAACAGACGCACTGAATTCCAGATCCCCTGAAAAATAGTTTGATTTTCAGTAATTAAAAAAAATAGAAAATGTTTTCGCAGCTCACATAATCTCCATGCAATTAATTTAATCAACAAATTTCTATTTATGTTACAAAAACATTTAAGTCCATAGGAAAATCGTGAATTTTGACAGAAGTTATATTATAGCTGTTCAAGCAGAGCATGTATCCATACTGGGATTCAGTACATCTGTAACTCTTGCATAAATGTTTCCAGACTCCTAGGGATTTTGCTGTTGTTGCTTGCATTTCATTTGTTTTATATGACTAAGCCAAATGCAATGACCCACACATTAAATACGCATTTAGAATAAAACTGCAAAATCTGATGGCTTTATCAGTGTATGAACTGAAATAAAATATTTACATGGAATGTTGAGCTCCATTTACAGAGACAGTGTCTCAAATTACAGACCTAGTAATCTAGTAAATGATCACATTGACAAGAAATTTAAAAACCTAACATCCCTTTTCAACCCTTTCATAAATATATAAAGTTTCACTAAATTCTTTTTTCTTTAAACAAGACAGCTATATTCTCTTTACAGATTAACATGAAATAATGGTTTCCTGTTCGAACGCCACAGATGGGATGATCTGAAGTCAGCAGGTTCTTATACACATTCTGTACTTACAAGACATATTCACAACACAACACACAGGTGTTACTTGGCCTTTTCAACTGTACTCGTTTCCTGCATATTAGTACTAAATAAAGAAAAATACCAAATTATCTATATTAAAAAATACATAATCTAATATACATTTGCTTACACTGCCACATCAAATTTTAAAACGAGGTTTCCAACTGTGCCTGATGAGTGACAAGGGTATCTTTTTCAGTGAAGTCTACAGCATTAATTTATGGTTGAGTGGAGACAAAGTATCTGTTACACTACTGAAAAGTATCACTACATACTACACAACAAAAAGAATTAATCTCTTGCAACTGCTTCCCAGATCCCCAAGGTTTCCTCAGTAATTGTCTGAAAATTTCTGATGGAAAAATTGTTCTAAAGGGTGCCAAAAATGTTTGAAATCAACTCAAAGGAAAAAAAAAAAAAAAGTTGCTCTACTTTTTTGGTATTCATATCAATTTGTCACTGATTTTACAGAAGATTAATCCCAAAGACTTTGAAGTTATATACATAGTAACTCACATTTTTCCCTATTTAAATAAATATTCCCATGAGTTTTCTTTGTTGTGCCACAAAGCATGGGTGAAAATATTTTCAATCCATGCATGCTCACAGCAGAGTATTCCACAATTAAGCTACGGAATACATCTTTCTTTCCATGACACCGTAAGTGCAAAGGAATACTAAAATCACTCTGTACATATAAGACAAAGTTCACATCTAGAAAAGTAAAAACACTTGATACGTAATTAAAACTACAATGTCTTCCTCATAAAAATATTGGTCACTTGCCTGTTTCAGTTCTCTTCAGCACTTATGGGGTAATAACTTCCAAGAGCCGATGTGCGCTTTATGGGAGCAGTTACGCTTAAAACCATCAAAGTGCTGATCTGCAGTATTAATTAGTATCTTCTGCAAACTCTCTGTTAAAAAAGCTTACCTTGGGAATACACAGATGATGATAAAGAGGTGTTTGGCAGTTTTGTTACACTAGTATTAGCTCACTTTATGGAGCACAGTAAGACTTCGGTTTAATCTGACTCTTCTGCCCCCAGTTTGGGGGCAGAAGGATTGAAGACACAGGAAAACAAGACCAGTTCCACGTGCATGAAGAGTGTACCTGCTGCTCAGGTAGAGTTAGAAAGCCCTCCTACCAAGAAATCGGCCGTTGAGTAGTGCCTAACCGTGCCCATATTTAGATGCTGAGGCAACAGCAGATGCTTTGTCGGTTTGAAAGGTTATTATGAATGTAGCCAGCTGACGGGAACCCAGAAGGTCTCGGTCTCCAACCTGTCAAAAGTTGCTTTAAGCTCACTGTAAGCTGTGGCGAGGTCGTCATTGACTATCACCTTATCAAAAAGGTGGCCGTACTGGCTCTCCATCACGTGGGCAGATTTAATCATTTCTTGAAAATCTTCTTCCTAGTGAGATCAGTGCAAGGCATAGTCAGTCCATAGCAACATCACATAAAATCCTGTGGTAAACGCAAAGCTACTTGCTTATTTCTCATCAGGAGATGGAAACTGTACCTTTAATTAAAGAAATTTATGGAAATTACCATTACAAGTGATCTCAGAGAGCATTCTCATGAGCAGACTTTGCTCAACAGGCAATTCTTTCCTCCCTCCCCTTGCAGTGACACAATTAGTCACTGCATGGTAATTACAGAGACATTTTCTGTTAGCAGTACCACTGGAAAATGTTTCTAACTCTTTACTTCGATGATACATTTGAAGTTTCATTACTAAGTCTCAGCTTGCTATTATCATGTGATATATTACAGTACAGCCTTTATTCTTTTAAGAGCTTGGTAGGAGCTGACTTCCTATGCCTGGTTCAACCTGGTTCAGTAGATTTCTCTTTATGTTTAGGGGGGGGAACAAATCTTAGGAATTTAATCATTTACATAATTCTGAGAGATTAAATCCATCCTAACCAAGCACTGTCCTGAAGGCTGCTCTTAAGAATGAACTCCTCTTGCATTTTATATACCATAGAACATATTCTTATAGCGCATTATTTTCAAACTATTTCAAATGCATAATCCAACACAGATACAGTCTGTGACTATATCCATGACTCAGTTTGAAATAAAATTTAAAAAATCCTAAATAATATCTGAATGAAGGAAAATTAAGCACACTGTAAACATAGATAAAAAGTCTAACAATGATCAGCTTTGCTTTAGCATCAATTAAAATATGATTTCATTATATTTCAAGTAAATAAGTTACTGTTGGGTAATCTGACTAATATTTTTTTCTGATTATTGACAAAACCCAGCATTTGTTACTTCCTTAGATTTTTCTTCTTTTTGACGGCGCTCATTTCCCTATAACATTTTAAAAAATTGTTTCTCTTATCCACAAATATGGGCCTTTTATTTTATTTTTTATTTTTAATTGATGCTTTATTTTTGAGCTTTTCTCTAAATTTAGACCAAATAATACACTTGATAAAATAAGGAAGTATTTATACTTGACTACAAACATCTAAGCCCAGATGCAAATTTTTGAAAGGAAATCCACAGCATTATTTCTCATAAAAATATAGTTGCATTGTGGGAGTTCTTCAATGACATAAAATCAGAGGACCACATAAATGTAAATACCCATGGGCGTATCAAACAATGAAAACACGACAGGAAATTTGTGATGTGAGAGAGGCTGGGAAACAAGAAGATTCCATGTGTAAGCCTGGCAAGTATTGTTGATGAGGTCCAGTGATCACCTTTATTTTCAAGATAAAACCACTACAAGAAAACTCTTAAGTTCTCATGTTTTGCTATGTCTAAATATACGTACTGTAAAGGGTTTTGCAGTCCCCTTATCATCTTTACTTGAAATAATCTTGGCATTTTTTCTGGTTTCTCTCAAACGATCAAGTGATGGAGGCTTTATAAATATAACAAATGGTTTAAATTCGTATGTCCGTAAGTGTTTCACTGTCTGGGAAGAGGAAATATTTTAATTAATTAGTTTATTTTGCACAATGGAATTTACCATCATAAAAGAAACTCTCCACTAACCAAAATAAGCCTATAAAGCACTCCTAGAAGGCTATTTTTCATTTTCTGCCACCCTGCCCCGATTGGCACTGATTCGTGTAAGGAGAATTTTCAGGAGAAAGGTAAGAAAACCATTTCTCCAAGGGTGACCGTTCCTCTTGATTTCCATATGGGTTGCTGGCAAACTCCATCAGTCCAGCAGCAGCTGGGCTGCGCACACCAGTGCCCGGGGCAGCGGGAGGATGGAGGGGAGCAGCCGGGCATCCAGGAGAGGAGGAAAAGTTCAACACATTTTAGCAGGAATTACACTTTCTCTACCCATGAAAAGTAGTGGAAAAAGGTGTCTGTGTCACTCAGTCACAACAGGTCTATGATATTTCTCTTTAATACTGTGTGTCCACCACACAGCCGTCTGCTGTTCACTCTTCTCAAGTGAGCTGAGTGATGCTACACATGGAGATGGCAACAGGTCTATGATTTGGATCGCAGCACGGAGCGAAGCAAGGATGGCCCGCAGCTTCGGGTGAAGCAGGGATGGCCTGAAGCTTTCTGTCCTTTTCCCACTGCCAGGGGCCACAGGAAAATGTTGTTGGAGAACAGGATCCCAGAACGGTTCACGAGCCTGGGTCCCCAAGAGAATTTAGTGCTTCTCTGGAAAACAGGGCCGTGCTGGATGGGCAATGGTCTTGCAGAGCAGGAGCCCCTGCCCAGCTCCCCTCTTCCCCTGGCGCAGGGTCTGGCCTCCCCGGCCGCTCCTCTGCCCGCGCAGCCCCCCTGCCCTGCTCCCAGGGCACAGCCTGCATCCAAAACTGCCCCGGGAACTGCTCACCAGCCGCCGAGGTTCCAAAGTCACAGGCTGGCCACCCTGGGAGAAGAAATACCTTGGCTGAGTTTAAACAAACTAGTCCAGCTCCTGGAAGCACTGTGGTTATTAGTAGCATAAAAATTCCCAGTGGAGCTGTTCAGCAGGGTTGAAAGACAAGGTCAATGCAAGAACAAATGGTTTAGAGAAGAATGTTCTTAACAATTATCCAGCCAACATTACATTTAGTGTGTTCCTTGACTCATGTCCACCCTGCATGTAAACCCTTGGCATGAACGGTCGGGTTAAATGTGTGAGAGTTGCTGGACTGGGTGATAGCTCAAAGCTGTTCCGAAATTCAAGTTTCATAGAGAACCTCTAACCCAAACCAGCAGAAAGATGAATGGAAATATAGGAGCAGTTTCTAATTAAATCTTTGGTGTTATGCTGCAGGCTTTCAATTCATTTAATTACCAAGCTGAATACTTGCCAATACGTATTGAAGTTTCCCTCCTCTCCTTTCAGAAAGCCTTGCTGTGATAAAGGTATCCAGCAAGCCCACTCAACAGTCATTCAGTGTGAAATAAAATATACCGTTTCAGAAACAATTTTTTTCCTGGCATCCCAATATGCACTGTGGGGAACTACAAGAGTCCAGAAAATGTGTTTACTTACATAAGGCTGCACATCCAACAAACAAACTTTGTTTTTAGCTAGAACTGATCGAACAGAGTCTAAACTTGTACCATAGTAGTTGTTCTTATACTCGCCATACTCGATAAACCTGTGGCAGAAGGTGAAAACAACTGGAATCATTTCCATTTTCTCCTGAAAAAAAACCTTATCAGTTTGGTTTATAAGATCTAATTCAGGAGCAAAAATATTTTACTTTACATGTGAGTTTTACCATGTTTTGTAAAGGAAATGCTGTCAAGTACTTCAGCATGTCAATTTTAAGAAATCTTCTACTTTACCACTTTCAAATCAGTAACACCTGCTTGTATTACAGTTAAAGAGAAAAAAGTACTGCAGTCCAACAGCCCACTAATGTTTTCCATCACCTCTTTTTCTGAACTAATGCAACGCAATAAAACAGTGGATAAGCTAAACAATAGAAACTACTGAAATTTCATTGCACACTACAGAATATCCAAATTCTCTGTCTCAGAAGAGGAGGAGGAGCGACGATGGTGCTAATGGAACCAAGGCGGCTGGTTATGTGCTATAAAAGTACAAGCGCTATTTGCCAAAAAAGCAAAGCACAGTTTGAAGTTTCAATAAAACCCACAGCTTTGTGTCTAATACACTTTTGCCCTCTGAAACACTGGGGCAGAATTTCAAGCTACAGTATTTTACAGGCTGCTAGAGAGCATGATGCTACCATTGTCTTCATTTCAGTTTAATTTCTGGAGGGTTTACAGGCAAGGGCTTTACTGTAGATCTCTAAATTCAAAAGCAGAGGAAGTGCCTGGCCTGAAAGAGAGCAGAACTACACAAACACTGACTCAGGCACGTTTGCAGCACTTCCAGGGCTCCCCCTCCTAGAGCTGCAATGCTTTATTGCTATGACAGACGATGCTCTATCAAAGCAGTGCTCCCCCATCCTGACCACCTAAACTTCAGTGTCTTCTTGAGGAGCTGAAGTACTGAAACTACTTGGAAGCTTAGAAACAGTTGTGTTTGCACATACTGCTTTTTTTCTCTGTGTTTTTGCCAGCTGCTTATATATCAAAATGCAGTTTTAACACATCTTCAAATCACTGCAACTTATATTCACTTTGACTTATTTTCTAAAATTACAACCAGCCCCATCTTATAATAAAGCCATTGTTTTAACTACAGTTCTAGTTAAAATCTCTTTGACATACTTGTTATTCTGCACGTCTGTCTCAAACAAGTGCTTGGAAATGAAAATGTATTCAACACCGTCACTTTCTTGGCTTCTCCTTGGACGGGTAGTGTCTGCAGTTTCATTAAATGGAAAAAAAAAAAAAAAAAAAAAAAGGTAAAAGATGCACAAATCATTATAATGTGAACCAGTTCAGGAAACACTGAAAAACACACAACCCTTGTGCAGTACTAAGCATAGTGGTTTCCTTGCTTCTCACAGACATAAGGCTTCTCTGGATCTGGTAGGTGGCACACAAGCACATGACAGGATTGAGTTTTAAAAGCATGCAGGAAAAGCAGGAAAATACCTACTGGACAAGTATCAGATTATCATTTTTATTAACTAGTGGAAAAATCCAATAAAATGAAGACAGCTGAATAATAAAAGGAGCAGCAGTCCATAACAATTACCCCAGTCTTGCCACTTGTTAAACTTATTAGCATACGAGACCATAAAGGGAAACAAAGCTCACCAACCTGATTTATAAAATGTTACATTCATTAACAACACTTGTAGCTATGGTATGTGAAGCATGATAATAAAAAAATGGGGTGTGAATTTTATGTTTTAGTGCTTTTCGTTTTCTGGTGATCAAAACTGAATTCCTTTTCTTTTTTTTCAGTAGCCTTGTAGTATTTGCACTTCTTACTTTCCCTCAAGTACTAGGTAAAAAGGTTTTGCTTATAAATGAAACTTATTTGTGGGGTTGCCACTTACAGTTAATGAACCCATTCAAAAGTCCTATTTAACACAATTCATATGTTACAGCATCATGTATTCTCCGTTACTTATGAACGTACACAACCTGCTTGCAGCAACACAGCCTTAAATGCCATTTGATATCACGCTCTTCTTAAGATGACACAAGGAGGAACACTTCCAAGGCAAAAACCCCAGTTCTCCCTCCAAGTCCTGATTTACTGAATTTCAGGGAGATTCTTTACATGTTTGCTTTAAATTATAACCACAAATTTGGAATGAAAAGGAGAGAAGGCAGCTTGAAGAATACTGGCAATTTTTAGAGAAATGTTTTGGGGCAAACGATTGCATATGCTTCAATGTGTTAAATATTTGGGAACATCTGGCATTTTTGTTGTTGTTTTCAATACCCAGCTGAAGCAAATATGTGCAAATGACATGACTTGCCAAAACCAAATGTATTAATTTTTTTATCTAGAAAATCCATTCATACATATACTTTATAGAATACCTGTACTCGCAAAAAACCTGTGACTATCTCCCAAATTCAGAATGTTGGACCCATATTTTTGAAGAGGCCCTATAGAAGGCACAAGTACGAGTAGAAGGCAAACCAAGGAATGAAAGTCTAACTACAACTGTCAAGTCCTCCACATGAAAGAAGCCCCAATAAAGTATTGTAGAAGTTAATATAGAACAACATTATTCAGTGTTATATATAAAGTAGCGCTACTCAGTCAAATAGGGGGAAAGAGGGAAAAATCCCCAGGTCAACTTTTCTAAAGCTAACCAAAGGGATTTAATTAATTTAATCACAGGATTAAACTGTTCATCATCAGTCTTAATTTTTCAGCCTGCCTAATATATAAAGGCCATTTTTCTGAAAGCAAGCATTGGTAACAGAGTATGTTTCACCGCTTTACAGCCAAATCCAGGCTGTTCTTCCACCGAGTTACATTTACTAAACCTCGCCGACATCAATCACATTAAACTTGTACTAAAAGTCTACTGCAATGCCTCTGAGCCAAAAAGTCCTACCAGTTTAATCAATGCTATTTAAAATACAACTGCAACAGCACTTTTAAAAATTAGAAAAGTAATTTGGATGCCAAGCATGCAGTTAGAGACCCAAATTTGAAAGTGCCTTAAGGTAATGCAATAATAAAGGATAATCATGCAAGTATAGCATTAGGAGAATAGAAGTGTATTTTTACTTACGTGGCACTGTTACCCCATAATGCTGGGTGTCACTGATCAGCAATTTCCGTTTAAGTTCATTCAGTCCAACTCCTACAGGACCTGAAAGAAAAAAATCATGCTGCTTCTCAATAGCCAGCTCGCGCTCACCTTCCGGGGTAAATACTTTCCAAGATAAGACTGCATAGCATATACCTATAACATATACCGTATTTTAATCAGTCATTTGGAAATGCCCATGGTTCTAGCCTCTCCTAGAACATACAGCACTGACAAATTTTAGAGGACGTAGTTGGCAGTTATTCTGCTCTGACTTTATTGCTGAGGAAAAATCAGTGACAAAGTTGACAGCAAAGCTAACTTTCTTTGCTACAGCAACTACCTAGGTTGATGAGAAGCTCAACATGAGCCAGCAATATGTGCTCACAGCCCAGAAAACCAACCGTACCCTGGGCTGCATCAAGAGAAGAGTGACCAGCAGGCCGGGGGGGGGGATTCTCTCCCTCTACTCTGCTCTTGTGAGACCCCCAGCTCCAGTGCTGTGTCCAGCTCTGGGACCCCCAAAAGAAGAAGGACATGGACCTGCTTGAGGAGGCCATGAAGATGACCAGGGAGCTGCAGCACCTCCCTTATGAGGATAGGCTGAGAGTTGGGGTTGTTCAGCCTGGAGAAGAGAAGGCTCTGGGGAGACCTTATAGCGGCCTTCCAGTACTTAAAGGGGGCTACAGGAAAGGTGGAGATGGACTTTTACAAGGGCCTGTAGTGACAGGATGAGGGATAATGGCTTTAAACTGAAAGACGGTAGATTTACATTAGATATAAGGAGGAAATTCTTCACTGCGAGGGTGCTGAGGCCCTGGCACAGGTTGCCCAGAGAAGCTGTGGCTGCCCCCTCCCTGGGCAGTGTTCAAGGCCAGGTTGGACGGGGCTTGGAGCAACCTGGTCTGGTGGAAGGTGTCCCTGCCCATGGCAGATGCATTGGAACTAGATGCTCTTTAAGGTTCCTTCCAACCCAAACCATTCTATGATACCCTCAGTACATATTTGTCTCCATCCATAGCCCTGCTACAGACCCCTGCATCCTAACCTGCAGCTTTCCAGCACATTTTGCCAGAATAGCCCCAACTCACAGAGTAGAGGACCCCAGTTGGCATGCATGAAGTCCTTTCAAAAGCCTCGGCACTCCCTGTATCAGCATGACCTTTTCCTCGCTCCCTCCAGCTGCTGCATCTCTCATCTGCACCTTGTCCCCCACCTTCTCCCCTGGCCCTGGGAGCACTGCTGCCCAGCCTCTGGCTGGCTGTAGCTGTCACCATCCACCTTCTGACTGTGTGAGGGTGGCATCATACAGTGAGAGGAAGGAAGGGCAGCATTCCCCCTGTCACAAGTTATTTGGGATGTTTGGGTTTCTTTCTTTGTTGATTTTCTTTTAAACTATGCTTGTCTCCTGCCTGCTGTCTAAACTGGTCCAAAGCAAATGTTTCCTTCTTCACATGGCTGCCAGAGAGAGACCACTCTTGGAAAGAGGATGGCAGGAAGAAACAAAGACTGCATGGAATTTTTTTGACCTGTCTCCTCCAGCTGCACTTGTGTACTGCTGCCCTATAAGCTACTGAGCAGCCATTCCTCTTGGCTTTTGGACTGTCCCTAACTCAGCCATTTGCCAGTGGTGCTTTAGGTCTCAGTGAGGACACTCTGTTCTGTGAGGTCTCAAAGGCTCCATGGGCAACCGCTGCCTGGCCCCAGGAGCCCTTCGCGCTCTGTCCTGCCTGGCCCTTTCACAGCAGGGTCGTGGTACTGGGTGTGTGAAGGGAGCTCAGCTCTGCCTGCTCCTGTGTTTCTGACAGTGCAGTGGCTTCGCTTCTGCAGAGCCAGGTCAAGAGTGGAATGCAGAGGAGAGTCAGTCATTGGAACCACATCCCAAATAATACAAGGATAATACATGTGGTTTTAAGGAAAATTCTTGCTCTTCCACTGCAAGGGACACATGCATGGAGTCTTCTTAACAGAGACATTTTAGACATCAGAAATGCAAAACCTAGTAAACATTTTAATGAAGTAGTGATATATTGGTTAATTACTAGTGAGAGTCAAAAAGCAAAGACTGATAAATCAGCACCTTCAGGTCCCTACTTGTGAAAATGACTATCCACCATGTCTGAAGTTAGAAACACATAATGATGAAAAGCAAACGCTTCCTACGTTGCTGCTACCCCCAGACTATAGTCTCTCTATAAAATCTTAGTTTCTGCATTTATAATTTTTACATGTTTACATAAGTTAAACACACAACTACATTTCAAGTTCCATCTCTGACCTGCCTGTAAATTAATCTATCAGTATGTATAAATGTTTATTTAATATGGTGTACAGCAGCCTCTACTGGTACATGTCTGCAGAGGAAAGCAATGTGTTACACAGATAATGGCACTACCTCTGTTCTTATTTTTTTTAAAAAAACATTTTTACTTTTTTAATACTTTAGCTATTCAAGGCAAATATGGATTTGTATAGGAAAAATAATTAAAACCCTCAGTATACCCTAGCAAAGTAGAATGAAACAAGTGAAATTCAAATTAAAAAAATAATTGCATTCCTTTCAAGCAAAAAAATCTTTCACATCAAATCTACACAAATATTATTTCCTCAGTCTACATGCTGTCAAATCAACAATATGCTTTTAGCTCTATTTATATACAAAGAATCCAGGCTTCGCTTCCTGTGACAGATGCTTTGGAAACCTAGACCAAATCCATTTCCAAACCACAACCTCACTACTACTATGTCTCCCCTTCAAGATTATAATTTAAAAATAATCTTAACGTTTAACTGCTGAAAGGTGTAGATTCTTCTTTTTCAGTGCTGTCTTCACAGAACTCTTGTAACTGCAGCATATGGATGCTGAAGGCTGATTCCTAATTAGCAATGCTATCCATGATGCTGATTTTTACACTACTTCTCCCAAGTGTACACTTCTACTCTGAATATTCTTTTCATTTTGATGTAGCAGAGAAAGATGCCAGTTTCTAATAATTATGAATCGGAACATAATTTGAACTCAAGAAGAGAATAAAGCATCAGGATTGAAAAGGACAATCCAAATTCTTACAGTAAAATGCTGGGCATGTGGGATCCATGACTGTACCACAGTTTTGGTTTACTATAAATCACCACAGGCAGCAATATTTAAAGTTATGGCAACAGATTTAGAGATATTGTGTTGTTTTGTTGTTGTGGGGTTTTTTTGTTTTGTTTTGTTTTTTGTTTTTTTTTTTTTTTTTTAAGAAATATTTATGTTGCTTGCTGTTGTATGTTGAGTTACATAAGCTAAGTAATGGTCAAATCCTGCACAAATGGACTGTAGTGTCTACATCATTTTATTGAAGGACACGTGCAGAATTAAACCACCAATCATTAAAACTTGCATTAAATTTTGTACCATTCAGAGACGTCTGAAGAAAACTAAAAAAATTTTGATGTTGGTTCAGGTCTCAGGATGTATTCATTAGTGAACCATGCTGACCTACCCATGCCTTCATCCAGGAAGGTTTAATGAAGGTTCAATTCTAGGTCTCTTTCTTCATTGTCCAGATAGCTTACTCAAAGTAGTGTGGCCACGGCAGGCCATTTTCCTGCACTACTGATGCAGATCTATTAAGCCTCTGCGAGCTACCACTGAATCAAGTCAGGAGATGCAGAAAGCTAGAAGCCACTTCCATTTCATCCTTGTCTGCTCCAAGACAGATGATAAAACCGAAAGTGATGGATTTTTAAAAAAATGTAAGCACTATAATAACAGAGGATTTTTCCAGTCCCAGATTCCTTTTCTTTACAGTAGCCAGAAGGACAGCATTGTAGGGAGTACCGACAGCCTAATTCAAAGACAGAGAGATTTTTCTGATTGAGTCATGTACCAATAACAACTGCTCCTTTGTGCTTACACACCCCTGGTGTTTGCTTCCGCCACTGCCCACTCAGGACAGATGCATCACCAGAGGTGACCACATCACCTGGAAGGCGTTGCAAGCCTCTGGTGATAACGCCACGTGCACATAACCGCGTGCATTCTGGGGGATGCGCTCATGGTTTGTTACTGCTGGCCTTGTTTTATCCTAGCACTGTCCTTTTAGAAAAATTTGACTTAGCTGATACTATGCCATGTAAAGTATGTGGCACACCCACTTTGACTCTTAGGAAATAAAATTTGTGGTAGTCTGGCCCTCACAATCACTGAAGCAGAAGCCTCTGTGAGCCAGACTTTTTCCTCATTAACATATATAAAAATTCTACTGTCTAGATAATACTTTTCATATTGAAATATTCTGCCTATGCCTGATAGGGCTGCAAGGTACCATGCTCAGGATGCAGGCAATATTTGTGAAGGAAGACTTCAAGGATTTGTTGGCAGCTTGGGAACATTAAGTTACCAGAAGATGACTGGTGACACGGTATTGGATAATTTTGTTCTTAGCAGACTCGTCACACTCGTAACAACTAAAAGCACAGCAGAAGTATCTGTATCATTACTGCTTCAGATGATCTGTTATTTTAGCCCCAAGGATATGCAGGCCTCTATTCATGAACCTACATTTGCAGACAAGATAAAATCTTGACAAACTAATACATCTGGCTGAACCCAAAACTAGTATATATCACACTATAGGGTGTTAAAAATTACTGTGTGTGCAATTTGCATTCTGTAAATTAGACTAGACCAATTTAAAATGAAGCCAAAAGAAATTTCCATTTCAAAGTTGTCAAACTCCCTCCCCCTAGAAAATGGCAAACCAAAACCTAAAGAAAGATTCCAACAGTAAATTATACATTTAGGCCTAGCATAACACAAGACATTTAGTGCCCCCACCAATTACAGCTATAAATTAATTATCTGTCCCTTTGTTTCCTGGTACTAATATCCAAATTATATTTGACGGATTATATTGAATGCTGCTACTACTGGCAGACAAAAACCTTTTTAAATGTGTTCACTTCTACTATACCTGCATCGCTTAGCTCTGCTAGTTTTTCCACATTTTGCCCAAGACATTTTTATAGTATTGGCCAGACTTAAGCTGCTCTTAATATCCAGAGAAAAACATTAGAATTACTGAAGTCTGCAATAAATTTCTGAACTGCTTTTGTTACTGAAAAAGCACACTTTCTTCATTTGATTTATTACAACAAAAATCAAATGAAATCTCTAGGTATTCCTTAGATCAGACATATGCAATTTGTTATAAAAAGTCTACTTATCACACTTTTGCACTGCACTCTGTTGATGTAACTGTAAAATCAACTCAACCATGTTATTACTTGTTGTATATAGCCCACAATCTCACAGTGATCACACTAGTAGGTGGCTGAATTCTAGTGCTGAAGAGTGACAAAACTGTTTATTAAAAACTAAATTTAATGTTCCCTTGGATATGAGTGATATAAAAATACAGCTACTCAACAGTTCATAACAAACCCTGACAGAGGGTCATATTTCTCTGCTCTGCTGCTTTCAGAACAGAGGAGATTTTACTAATGAAGCATCAGTCTAAGTGCTACCGCAAAAGAAACAATAAGCAATTGACAGGAACGGTTACTCATTGTTACTCCAATGGTTACCTTTGAAAAATTTAAGATAATGTACTTTCTAATTTTTTAGGAGACTGAAGCAATCATTTTGATTAGATAATAAATGCTGTGGGGAAGTCATGGCCTTGGCAGATTATAGAAAAACAGAAAGCTGACTAAGGATAACATCTTGAGTCTTCTGCAGCTATGCTTACACCTGTCCTTGGCCTACAGAAGCCCACCTCTCATTCACCTTTCTGTCTACTTGTTTATTTACTTATTTTAACATAGTACATGGCTTTGTTTCTTTCCATTTATATGTTCTACCTTCGTTGACCACAGGTATTTATTCTGTTCTTTAAAAATTATTTTTTCCACATAGATATAGTGATTGATCTGTAAGAGCAGAACACTGACCTAATTCTTTTGAGTTTTAGTACAGCTTGATTGCCAGGTTCAGACTAGTAACCATGGTAGCTATGTTTTACTGTCATCTCCCTTTGGTTTAGCAAGCTTTTAAACATGGTCTTCTAAAGCATCATTATATGCAAGTTAGGACATCCTGTCTAGATAGGTGGACTACCAGATAGGTGAAAAACTGGATGGATGATCATATTTGAAGGGAAGGGGTTATTTGTCTGTACTTTACTGGGTGACTCATTACAAATGGCGTTCCTCAGGTGTGTACCCTTGGACATACCCTGTTTCACATCTAGAAGAGGACACAGAATGGGCCCTTAACAAGTTTCCAGATGCCAAAATGGGTGATGCAAGCGATTCACTCAAGGGCAGGGCTTCCATTCAGAGAAACCTTGATATGCTACAGGCATGGGCTGGCAGTACTTTGTGAAATTTGATCAGGACAGATGCAAAGTCCTGCATGTGGGATAGACCGAGTCCCACAACAATACAGGCTGGAGACTGACTGGCAGGGGAGCAGCCTGGATGAAAAGGACCTGGGGGTCCAGGTGGGCAGTGAGCTAAGCACGAGTCCACAGCACACGCTGGCAGCAATTAAGGTGAACAGAAGACTGGGCTGTACCAGCAAGAGTCTAGCCCGCAGACAGAGGGAAATGATCCTTCCCCTTTACTCAGCAATTTAGACCCTGTGAGGAATACCCTGTCCATGATGGACCCTCTACTACAACAAAGATGTTGATAAACTGGGGCAAAGCCAGTGGAGGGCCTTCAGGATGGTCGAAAGCTGAAGCACATGACCTGTGAGGAGAGGCTGAGGGAACTGGGCTTGTCTAGAGCTTGGAGAAGAGATATTTTCATGGGGACACACCAGCACCCTTCTGATACCCACTGAGAACACGGAGGCCACTTCTTCACTGAGGTGTGAGATGGGAAGACAAGAGAAGACATGGTGGGACGTCAGGTTCCCAAAGTTGTTGTCATCAGCAACCTGTTCTGAATTCAGTGTTACTCCTGCTGACTGGGAGGCTGGACCAGGTAACCTCCTGAGATTCCTTCCAATCTAAATGATTTTGTGGTAAGCACTGTGCTAATCAGCAGTCCTCTGTTTTACCAGGTCAAAAACAAATAAAGTAACTTACCAACCAAAACTACAAGCCTGTATTTGTCATTAAGTTGTCGTCTATATTTTGCAACTTCTTCGTATGTTGGGATATCTGCTGTATCATACTGATCACTCTTCTTGCACTCATACATAGATTTGTTTGTTTTTTTATCTTTTCTGCTAAGACGAAAGCTTCTTCTAAAACCAGCTGCAATAAGAACAGGTTTTTTTCACAGTAAGAAAATAAGTCTTCTCAAAACATTTGAAAACAGTCTCTTCCAAACATTCGAGGATTGGTGCATGGAATAAAAAATGAATTATGTTTAATAAGCCAAATCATTAGAACAATATTTTCCCCACAGTTTTTAAGTGTATCAGGTGTCTATTTAAACTGCAATATTATGATTACCAATAAAATCGTAACAGTTACAACAACAAGCTGTAAAATATAATTACAATAAATTGTTAATATAGTTAGATAATTTGAGTATATTATAAATCAATATATAAACACAAGGAAATTCATGCAATCTGGATTGTCATATCACACTTAATGCATTTCTATTAAATCACAACAGCACACAAACATCAAATACAACATACGGTATAAATATATCTGGTGGTTGAAAGGGTTAACGAGAATTAACTCCTTGAACAAATTTTTGTGCTTAGGTCCATGCTGATAGCATAAAAAAAAAAGTGCACAAAACCTTTCCTGAAGATGTTTAGAAGTAAAACCAAACAGTTAAATTCCAAAATACTATGAAACATCTTAGACAATACAGTACCCATGTTATTGATATGTTAGCATGAAATTAGAAGTTAGTATTCCTATTAAATTTGCATTTACAGTTGCATCAACAGTGTGACATCTACAGTGCCTATTTAGAAGACTGGAAATTTCATATAGCTTTTAAGTACTCTGAAAAGAGACAATCATAGGCATTTTCAAGCAGAACAGCACAAAACCCCCCTTCTATGCTGTATGTTAAAATTCCTCTGTTACCTTACAGTTTTTCAAATAAATCCATTACATTGCATTATATTACATTCTACTGGCATCTCTGTCACCACTTTTGTTCTAGAAGGAAGCACAGGAAAGACTGCAAAGAAGGACTGCAAAGCTGATTTCATTATTTGGGGGTAATAAAGTAAAACACAAACTACACTTTAAATACTGGAAAAATCTCAACACCTTTTTTTTTTTTTCCCCCCGGAACATTTCATAGGACAGTAAACATGTGTAAACTTTTGGTGACCCCAGATTTTTCAGCATTATGTTTTCATAAACTTGTAATAGCACTTATGTTTAGGTATTTGAAAAGTAATCATATTACATTTTTTTTTCTTCAAAGGTAGTATCTGGCAAATTCAAGAGTCAGTTCTGCAAATATTTAGAACCAGATCTGAGGCAAAATCCTACAAGGCTTAGTTACAGGCTTAGCATTTTGCAGACACAGTTGCACTTAGTGTAACTGTGACTGGGAAGCCTGCCATATGAGGAAAGGCTGAGAGAACTGGGTTTGTTCAGCCTTGAGAAGAGAAGGTTTAGGGGAGACCTTATCACCATGTTCCAGTATTTAAAGGGTGACTACAAAGAAGATGGAGATTCCCTTTTTATAAGGAGTCACATGGAAAAGATGAGGGGTAATGGGTACAAGTTACTCCTGGGGACGTTCCAGTTGGACACAAGAGAAAAATTTTTCACAATGAGAACAATCAACCACTGGAATAATCTCCCCAGGGAAGTGGTGGATTCCCCAACATTAGACACTTTTAAGATTCAGCTGGACATGGTGCTGGGCCATCTTGTCTAGACTGTGCTTTTGCCAAGAAAGGTTGCACTGCACCAGATGATCCTTGAGGTCCCTTCCAATCTGGTATTCTATGATCCTGTGATAAATCTTTGCAGAATCTGGATCACAGAGGATGTTAAACAAGTTATTTTATTGATGTGAGCCCCTACACCTATGGGAATCTACAACACAGCATACACACACAAAGGGAAGAAAAATTTCTTTGAGAATACAGTGACGTTGACCCATTCATATTCAAAATATGAGTAAGTAAAATGAAAATTGAAAAAGGAGAAGAGCTAGCATGCACAGAAAAGGCTGATGACATTTTTAAGAGCTACACTATTGTCTGGATTGAGAAGGACATGTGCTGGGATAGAAAAGGGACCAAAATACGAGATGAAAACATAATGAAATAAACTGAGTTGTTATTCTTTAAAGAAGAACACTAACACTGAAGTGACTGCAGTCAGAAAAGCCCTGTTGGAGTGCTGACAGCTGTGAGCTTACACACCCAAGAGAGGGCCTGGGAGATCCTGTCTGCCCTAGGATTAAGTCTGACATGACACAAGGATGTTTTCTTGCTACATAACTGCACCTAACTTTATAGACAGTTATGTAAAGAGAGAGTAAAAGTAACATTAGCAATACAGACACATAAAGTGAGTTACGAGTCTCCTGAGGCCTCATCTAAAAACCTCCAGATTAAAAAAATAAATGAATCAGTTGCCCTAAAAGCAAGCTGAAAACTGTTCTGAATTTTCTCCTGTATAATAATTTTATGAATTAAAAAAAAAAAAAAAAAAAAAGAAGATAAAAAAGAATAATTATTCACCATTTGCTACTAAACAGTTTACAGAATAATGAGCTTTTCCCCAAAAATCAGAATCCACGTATCTGGAAAAGGTAAAAAGTAAGGGTAGTGATCAAATGAAGCTAAACCAATCATGTCCATTACAGTTTCATGCCAACCTTACAAGTACCAAGAGCTCTGTTCTGTGCCTCCAAGTAGTTGCCTCAGAGCACCATTACCAACAGCTTCTTAACTTCAGCTTACATGTTGAACTGCAGAATCTTTAGGAAAATTATTTCTGCAAAATCTTCATATCAATTCAATTCCTGCTGTTAGGTTTTAGTAAGACCATTTGTAACTTTTTCCTCTTTTCTCCATCCACTTTATTCAGATTTCACTACCAAACTACCAGGCGGTGAGTTATTTAAGAATTTTCATTCCTTCTTCTCTTAAAAGAGGAAAAAGCAGATTTTTTTCTTTTTTTCTATCAAAAAGGAGAAAATCTTTCAGTGCTGTCTTCATGCTGGTTTGTCCCTTGTCACCCTTACAGGCTGCATATAAAGCATCACAAAGACTCAGGTTATACGGTTCCACTACTAATGTGAGTTTCCTTGATTAAAGCATATGGTATTGCTGTGACTAAAACTCACAGGTAAAATGAAAATAGTAATATTGTCCTGTATATTAAGGAGGTTCAACAAGTTCAACTAGGACTTAGGTATTACAGAAAACTTGTTATATTAATTGAACAGAACAAACACATGAGCCAGAGATAGTGAGGCAGATTTCCAGTATGGCTGATTTCTATGCAGTGTGCTGATGAAGACACTCCATAAAACTACTGGATATTAAATATCTGTGATACGCTGATTGCTTTGCCATTTTAAGACTACTGTCAATTTGAAAGTTGTTCTAACTGTTCCTCAGAGCCCATCTGAATAGCCCTATAAAGAAACCCAAGAAAGCTTGCTTTAAGGAGATTTCAAAATCAAGGAAAACGTACAGTTTGGAGAGGAAGGATGAGACTGTTTCAAATATATCCAACATTTTTATGATACTGCTACTGTGCTCCTGGAAACATGATTCTTCCTCTCTCACATCTGCCATTATATGTCCTCACATATGTGGCTTAACTTTACTGTGACCTTCAGAAGCTGTATTATAAAGAACTGGTAATAACTATTTTCTCTTGAACTCTGCATTTATAATTGCATTATATGTTGGGTGGCTATAACTGTGCAAAAAGATTAAGCTGAACTGAAACAAAATCATAATTTCAAGGAATAAAAACTTCTATGATCAAGCAAAAAAATACTCTGCTCATGTTTGCATATTTTACAGTTTAGGTAAGATTAAAAATAAACTTCATATATTTAAATTAACAATAGAGCATTATTAAAAATATAGTGAAAACCACTACGGAAAAACAAAACTAATACTGATATGCAATACAAAAATAAAGTTTCTATAAAATGATTAAGCTTAAAAGTAAATTCCTATGTAAAGAACAAAGGGAAAAAGCATTGCCTGTCCAGAACATTTGATAATGAATAATGATAATTTGATAATGAATATGAAAGGAGGTACAGGCTACATTGTCCATGGAATATGGATATCAGCAGAGATTAGCCTCAGTTGCCACGTATGCAGACTATAAAATAAAAGGGGAAAATACTGTCACTAAATCAATATAAAATTCTGAACATTGAGAAGCTTGCACCAGCTCACTGGGTTCAGCTACATGACTAGAAACTTATTGAACATGCAAACCCATAAACTGCTGCTGGAATGTAACAGATTTGGTAAAGTAAGAACAGCCTCTGGGAAGAAAATATGAAGAACAAATGTTCCCAAACTACAGATGTCTCCAAACCTTGTAACACTTCTCAACATGAAATAAAAATCAAAAGCTGCTACTTACAAACTTAATTAAGGCCCAATCCAAGAGAAACTACTTACATCTCTAAGAGTGAAAAAAAAACCCTAGCAGAAAAGCGTGATCATTCTTTTAACCATCAGCAATATACATTTGATTATCTCAGAACATCCTTATATTTGCATAGAGAAATCCACTTGGAACTCACTCAGAAATCCAAACTGAAAACAGGCAATGCGTGAACCTGTCTCCCTTGAAATATTTTAAAAGGATGCTGATGTGAAAAGCTGTGCTCACTTAGATTTAATTATACAATTCTAAAGAAGTAGTGAACAAAAGATTGAGACTATGTTGTGTGAATTTAAATCTAAATATATTAATGAAAGTAGAAAGTTAATTTCTCAAATTCAGAGAAATTACACTAACAGGAAATATTACAATATGAATTCACCTATGCTTCATAAATTCACCAGTAAGGCTCTGGAATTCTATGTAAAGCACTTACACATGCTTTTGTTCATTTTCATTCATTAAAACAAGTGCTTAAGTATGTGTTTAAATTATGTATATTCTTCAGTGAATTTAGTCTAACCTTACATAATTTATAGTGAACAAATGCTGTTTAATTGTAAATGCATGTACAAGTACTTTTTGTATCTACATTACCGACAAAGTAAGTTTGGTAACATGGTCATTATCTAGGTATGTAAGAACACTGTATTTTCACTAGATATTTCTGGATTATTTTTTCACCCCCCAAAATTGGGATTTTTTTATACTGGCTCATATACTGACTATTTCTATTGTTACACAGGAACTGCACAAACACAGAGCAGACGTCGTACTCTGCTTGCTTCTGGACTGATTCCCAGCTTGCACATTTAGACGGGGTTAATAAAAATTTAGATTATGTCTGGATTTTTAAGACAAAATTGAGAATAGTAAACAGATGATATCCATCTATATTTACTGTATGTTCATAAAGGTTCAAGTAATGTACCTAGAATTTAAGCTTGGCAAAGGCAAACTACTAATGTTCTCCCCAGCAATTCCTCAGGAAATTACTGCAGAAACATACAATACTATACTGTGACTTAAATATTAGAATTTGGTGAAAAATCATTAAATTTATCTGAGTCAGTTTAGAGGGGAGGGTTCAAATTAATAGCAGCATAACCTTGGACATAAAAGATCTGACCCCAAATGGTACAGACATTCTGCTTTCTGAAAGCTGCCTCTTCTGTGGCTCTTCATGACCATCTCGTGTGGCTCTAAAGTACATATCCTTTCAGAGAGGGTCAGATGTTCACAGAATATCCTGGTTCACAGATCGAAATGCCAAAAAATAGAGTCCTCAACCCATAGTGAGCCATAAAATCAACTGAAAATTCATTAATTGATTTTAGAATCGTCATAAGTTCACTTGATTTACTTACTATCAAAAGCAGCATGAAACATGACTTAGTAATTTTGTTTTTTGGAAGTTATTGGTGTATCAATGCTTGGAAAACTGTTTCTAGAATTCAGACATATGAACAATTTACCATATTTCAGCTTACCTCATACTAATTGTCCATATGTGTGAATAGATACAAGGTAATAAAAGTCAACTCCATCAGCCGTTAAGCTAATTCAGACTACCTTGCTCTTGTAATAGGTTACAACATACAGACAGGTATACGACACATACCTGACACTCAGGTGCCACTAAAACATCCTGAACTTGTTGGTGTGATCCAAGCCCTTCAATGACAATGTTTAGGTTTTGTTTTCAGTGTAGTATGTTTAATCAAGAGTATATGTTACAATAGACTTGCTTATAAATTCTTAGTTACTTAGAAATCAAGGAGTGCCATCTCTATCACCTTTCAAGAACACACACTCAGAAAAACTGAGGTGTTCAGGATTCACTTCAAAGAACAGTACTACAAAATACAGGTGGACATTCAGAATAATCTGTTTTCAAAACTCAGACATATTTGTTTTCCCACTCTCCCAAAAAGTAACACGCAGGGAAAAAGGTATCTTTGGAGGCCTTCACTACCCTCGGGATTGAAGGAGTATCTACTCTGACGAGTGGAAAAGAAAGAGGCCCTCCTAAGCAGGAAGGTAAACTGCAGCAGTTAGATATGGTATTGGCTCCCATGTACCTAACAGAGGTTTTATAAAGTGTCTCTGCCTAGGACTCCTTTACCTTATGGACTATCTGAGCTTCATACCTTGCACAGCACATAGGACAGAGTTTTGTGCTCTCCCTGCCTGTGGTCAGTAAGTTCTGTTCAAATTACTACACTTTAGGCAGTGGTATTTGTCCAGCTGAGAAAGATAGTCCACAGCAGTCTGTTCCTTGAGCAAGTATAACTGAAAAATAATTTAGCAGAAAAGAAACCCTAAATGTGTGAATAGGATTGGGCTCCTAATGGTTTGTGAAACAAGAAGACACTTATACCACGCTAAGGTTTTGGAAAGAGGTCACAGGTCTTTCAGTTGTCTAGTTTGTGTATTTCTGCTGTAGTTTATATACCACTTTTAAAAACAGTAGAGTGCAATAAGAAAACCATTTCTAATTTACAGTACCTGTCTAGGGTATTTCAGTGAGCCCACTGGCTTGGATGTGCTAAGGTACTTTGACAAGTTTCTTCCCATTCCTCTTGTAGTAGGATGAAAGCCTTGGGAAAAGGGCTGGTTGCCACAAAATCCACTCCAGCCAGCCTTCAACTGGCAGGAATTCTGGACAGTTTCAACTAAAATATTTTTACATAGCTTTTAAAATGGCACAAATTAAAAGGTTGAAACATATTATGGAACATTCACCTTTTTTAAATGTTACTTTTGTTTGAAATTTGGAATCTTGAAGCTGAAGCCAAAGGGCTCCTTCCCCTCCTCTTCCCTGTTCCCCGCAATGATACATTGAGCTCAGACTGGCTTTGAAGCTAAATTTAAGCTATTGAGTTACTATGCCTTACTCTATTTTGTAATGTGGAAAAGAACTGGTGCCTGCAAATTTGCTCTGTACTCTCACTGAATCCTCCCAAAATTGTTAGATAGACATGTACAAAGAAAGTATAAGCAAAACTTGGATAAACCTTGAAAGTGTGTCTTTAAAGACTTACTCAAACTTGACAGTACAGTAACTTCTTTGTTTCATTAAACATACTGCTTACTTAATGTACTTTAAAAGTCAGCACTTTTCCCAAATTTATATATACTTTTTATTTTTACTTAAAAATCAAACCAGTATTTTAGTACCTTATCTTTAACCAGATAAAGGCATATGCTACATAAACCCTTTATGTCAAATCCAATGAGCCATTTTTAAAACCTTTTCATGCTTTTCTCATGCAGAGTAAGGACATTTGTATGCAGATTACCCCCAAAAGCAAAGTGGACACAGTGGTTCCGGGGGAAAAGAAGCTGAAAGAAAGGAAGAAATTGCCTTTTGCAACCAATTGCTCACCTAGATAGGATCCACTGTTGTGACCAGCACATTCAGCATCTTCTGGACGAAGGGTAAAAGCATACAGAATAAGAGCCAAGAAATAAAGCAGAATAGTTAGAAGCCCAGCAAAAAATACAGAAGAAATTACTTTTAAAATGACAACTGTACAAAGCATAGCATTAAAAAGCCTTCAATAAGCCATTTTCTTAAAAACATAAAACAACATTTATTGTTTTATATTTTAGCTGGAGATATTCTGGAATTTTGCAGCATGCACACTGATCTTTTTATATTTTCAAGCAAAAATTGTGATGACAGCAAACATTCTAAAAAAGAATTCTAACACTGTATTATTCACACTTTATCAGTTAATAGAAAATACGATGCCACTTAAAAGAAAGCAAAATGTATTTGATGTAAATCAAGCCTTTTTCATAAATTATACATTATCAGACTTTAGCTTTAAGTTTTGGCTCACTGGATTAGACAGAAAGGTTTTTGATCAAAAACACATCCTCTTATTTGATATAAAATAGCTATAATGTATATTTTTACATGCCAGAGGCCCTTTGATCAAAAATATGAGCTACAATTTCTAATGCCTTTATAAACAAAGGCCTCTTGAATTTAAAAAAAAAAAAAATAAATACAAGAGATCAGCTGCTATTACTTTAACATATGCTGCAAGCATAACAGTAACCGGCTACACTCAGAGGGAAAATGGTAAAGATGATACTACATGGATGAACTTTCTATCATCTCAGAGAAATACTTCGTCAGTATTAATTAGAAATGCAAGCCCTCTCATGGCCATATAATTAAGTCAGAACCATCTCTTTCCAACCCATCCCACCCAAGTTTTGTGAATATTATTTTATGATACTACTTTTCTATACATATTTTCCAGAAGTTCAAGAGAGAGAAAGCAGTTTAAAACAATAGTTCAAATTACTGATCTTTACATGAAGCAACCACGAACATTCTGGTATTTTTTATCTGCTTTAAAAGATGATTCAATGTATTTGGTGGAAATATAAAAGCATTATATGTATAACATCTCTTAGAAACGTTGGACTATGTTCAATTTAATTCTAAACACATGTTCTCTAAATAAATTATTGGGCTATGCAGGGAAACTTTTGTACATGTACCTTCAATTTCCTCTGAGAAGCACAAAGGAAAAATAGGAAAGGAAATCATTAAATGGAGTGAAAACATAACTTAAGAAAGAAAAGTTAAATTGAAGAAGAAAAATGCACCTACCACACTCAACCGCTTCCTCATCTTAGAACAGCCAAAAAAACAAAGTATTACTGTTTAATACTTCATAAATAGGAAAAAATTTAGCTATATAAGCTACTCTCAAATCCTCTTGATAGCACCTATTATATTGAGGCATATACCAACATACCGACATCAAGTTTAGCTTACATGTTTAACTACACTCAGTTAGAAAAGAACCTAAAAAGACATTGAAATATTATGTGCACTTTAAAATTCCTATGTGAGATTCTTCCACTATTTATTTGGTAGCAATGACCATACCTAGTTGTCATGGAATATCTCTTTGGTATTAAATACAAATTTGTTAATTCCATTTAATCAGTCTTAACCTAGAATTTCTAAGAATCACTACCATGAACATGAACTTGGTATTTTTCTGCACTAAAGTAACAGCTGCTACTGCCCTTGGAGCTGCGTTTTGAAGAGGTTTGTTGTATTTTTTTTTTAACTTCTCTAGTTGTAGCTGAAACAATGCTGAAAGAATTTATATACTCTTGTAATTTTTTTCTCTAACACTATCCTAATATAATAGATCTACTTAAGGCTTTCTGCTTACCTATAGTAAGACAATAAATTTCTGCTTCCTTGATAGTGGAAAACATACATTTTTACAATCATCTTTGGGCTTTTATAGAAAAGCAAGATAAATACAATGTATTTTTGTTCACAAAGAGATTATGTACTAAGGTCTAGATTTATAGAGAGATTTTTAAATCTACATCTCATTCAAATTTCCTTTGGAATCTGGATAAATATGCCTAAAATATTTATATTCCAAAGAGTTTCCATGAAACATGTCTTTCCTTGGAACGTGAAAAAATTATTCAAGAGTTATTTTACAATCTTTCATGCGTAACTATGTACCAAAGAAAGGCTAAATCACAACTCTCCTGCCTATCTGACTACATGGAAGAGCTCTTCCCATGATATGTCATGAAACGGGTACAAGAGTCTCTTCTGCCAGGGGAAGAAAGCTGTTTTGCAGAATCATTTCTTGGTACCTTTTTTCTTGAGGACTTATGTTTTAAAATATTTATTTGGAAGACTTCTCTGAATCCTAATTAAAGTTTATTTCTACATTGAGGTGACCATACAGTTTAAGTAGGTTGGAAGGTCCTCTAAGGAAAGCACTGCTTGGTTGACCACATCTGGTGCCTTAAAAGAGTGTCGACAGTTTTGTGAGTTGAGAGTGAAAGCACTGGATTCTTTTGCCTCTCTTGACCTTAAAAGTTCCCAGTTCTTGAAGTGACAAACATCCTAAAGCTGGACCTAGGATGGCACGCTGGCTCCCAGTTACTATTTCTTTCTCCTCTGTGCTGAAAGACCTCTTACACTTCCTGATATGTATGACAAGTTTTTCTGTATTTCCATTTCTGTGTCCTTCAATAGGCTGCAATGTATCTCCTGAAAACAAGTTTACCAATGCTTAAAACCAGTTCACATCAATACACCTAAAGTGTCCTGAATTCAACAAAGTTATTTGACTTAACTAGTGTCTGTGCATTTTAAAGTATTCTGTTTGGTATTTTATGACTGGAAACAGACAAGTTCTCATTTATGAACATGAAAGACTGGATTAGGTGAAAAAGAGGTCTGTAGGTACTACACTCACTCAAGCCTGACACCTGCAAGTGTAGGAGATGGTGGAGCTACAGCAGCAGGGCTGAGAAGAGCTGAAGAGAGCCCCTGATAGAAAAGGGAATGGTCTTATCCATCAACCAAAGACATTAGAATTTCCATGTGAACCAGCTGATCCCAGAGAGCACAAACCAAAATGTTTACAAGCTGAAGTTTAATGCTGAGATGAAGTGAACGAGTTCTGAACTTTGTGTTCTGTTAAAAATCTTCCTTCTTAAGACTGCTCTTGGTTTTCTTGGGCTACCCGTAAGGTTGAAGACAACAGTCTATAATGAAAAGATGTGGGAAATCAGTAGGTCTTCATAGCTTAAAGCTGCTAAGAAAGTCATCAAAATGTAGTTCCCAATTTGAACTTCACCAGGAATTTTACCAGGGCTATTGCCTGTTCCTAGTAAAGCCAGAGGTTATTTGTCAGGAAACTGTATTGCGATTCACCACTAATACAGCTCTGTGTGTTTGAAGCAGGTGTACACATGCAGCAGGTATGTGCAGATATTTGCTTTACGTTCCAGAGTTTACAGACATGGAAAATTGGGGACAGTACAGTTCCAGTAAACTTAAGTGGGGTGAGAAAGCAAGTAGAGGTGCTTACCTGGAAGGAACAAATGAGACTAAAAGAGGACAGAGGCTAAAGAGGAGGAAATCTCACAGGAAGTAGGAAAATAAAACCAGTGATTTGTCACATTTTGTATTTTGATACAAAAAAAAAAAACCCAAAACAAGTCATAAGCCAACATGGAGCAAATAAAACATTGAGAAAAGAAGAAATACATTCAATTAAATATAGTGTGGTAAGAAAGGCGAGGAAGTTACAAAGAAAATAGTCATGGAACAGGCTCATGAAACAACAAAGCAGTACCAAGACATAAATGGGGAAAAAAAGAAACAGGAAACACAAGCACAATGGAAGCTTAGGAAGTAGGAGTGTTTATTCATTTTAGAAAGATTTCAGTGTAGCCAATACGCTAAACTGTAATAATGCAGAACAGTACCACATACAGTGTATTTTTGCATGTATTTTAACTGAAATATATTATGGTATGTTTGGGGGGGCCTTACTTAAATTATATTACTTATGAAGCTCAAAAGCAGTGCCACTCCAGGAACTTCCTCCACTCTTTGGAACAGTCCAGCATCAGATCAAAGTTTTTAGCTTTTGCTGACTTACCTTCAACAATATTTCCATCAAAGAATCTTACTTAAATGTTTTTCAGTCTAAAATTAGATCCAGCAGCTCTGTTCTAGTTTCTTATCACAAGCAAGTTACATTATCCCTTAAATTCTATTTCACTCTACTAAGCAAGAAATTGTGACATACAATGATCTGTGTAACAGTGAATATATGAAACATTCCTGATTTTTTAGTGATGAACAGCCCCACATAGCAACTGACATTTATACTGTTTTGCAGGTTTTTATCCTATAGTTTTGTAGGTCAAATGATACATATATGTTTGTGCTACAGGAAATTTAAGGTGATCTAATTTAATCCTCTCATAACATCAGATAACAGTATCTCTACCAAGATAATTTGGAAAATGAAGGAGGACAGTCTTGCGGTGAAGGACAGAGCAAGAGTTTGAGATCCATTTACACTTCTGTCTCGTGTGACCTTGACTCAAATGTCATCCAGCTCCAGGTTTCCTTAATTTCTCTGTGGTAGCAGGAGGTTAATATTTGTAAGGATAGAAGACTTCTGAATAAAGATGCTGATGTGCTAATTTAACTCTATGTCTCTGGCTTATTTTTTGTTTTTACTTATAACTACCTGCAGGTGGGCAATCAAGTTTCAAATAAGAACACATAAAAATACTGAGAAGAAAGGCAGAGTTAAGACTGTGCAGCAATTGTTACAAGGAAAAGAGACCTACTATACATTTATCCTAAATGTTTGGTCTTCAAATACAAGTGGTACAAAGCATTCATTCTTTTAGTCTGTTTAAATTCTTTTGTTGGCAGAACACGATCTTCAATTCACAAGACACTCATCTATGGATAAACTAGGTTACTTCTTGTTTGAATGAACATCATTTGGCTGCAGTTAAATATTTCCTCTTGCTCATACAATGCCAATCACATATGGTAAATCAAAATTGAAAGTAAAATGGGTTTTAAGCCCTAGAAAAACTATATGATGATGGATTTGCCACAGTAAGTATTTACATTTAGCATTAAAAATAGAGAACAAATGTATTTTCATGGAAAAGACATCTCTGAACAGCTCTGTCGTATATGCTGCGTACATAGACATATAAAACTATACACACAGGGTATGGATATACACATACGCATGCACTCCACAAGTTAACAGAAGTTACAGGCTACACTAGTATTTAATATAAAGTTACCAGTAATTTTCATACCAGAGACAACACATATATAACATAAGAATAAACACAGTAAACCACTGTGAAAGCAAAATTATGCCGAAGGATTATAGTGTCTTGGTTGGGTCTTGTAGTTTAATAACTGCAGAACAGTAAGTTATTTGGTTGTTGTTCAAAGAAAGTTACTTTTTTTCCCCTCAAAAAAACAGGTGATCACTGTTTTATCGATAAATTAAAGCTACAAATGCAAGAATTACCATGTTTGCTGGCAACAGTATTACAGTCAGAGCATGAGTAGTCCTTGTATTCAAGTTAACAGACTGGGAGATATTAAATAAATGAATTCTTCCCTGTACGGAGTCTCACATCACTCCTAGTTAGCCAGGATGCAGCGAGAGGAGAAATCACAGAGCCAACTCTGGCTACAGAGTTGTGCCCAAGCTAAGGTAACCTCCTAAAGCCAGGAATGCTGTTAAGGATTATTGAGGAATACCAGGCGAGCAGGTTTCTGGGAGCTGGCATTCAGCGGTGGCTCCCGAGCTCAGGCGTGCCAAAGCTGATTGCATGCAGCCAGTACAGATTGCCTGTTCTGTACCTCCCTCCGCGGCCCACAGAGCTCCCTCACACCCTGCGCCAGGAATCCCGCACGTTCACCATTCCAGCATACGGAGGGTTAGTCGTACTTGCACAATCATATGCCTCTCTGTTTCTTTACTTTCATTCCATTTTCCTATTTCCTTTTCTATGCTGCTTTTTCTTATAATTTTTCCCCCCAAGTATAATTTTCCCATAGCATTAATGCACAACACTGCTTTTTGCTGAAAACTTATTGCTGTTAAGTATTGAGAAAAATGCTGAAAATGCTTGAGAGGTTTGTCATCCCACCATCATTTCTGCATTAACCCAGAGTCTGGAAGGTAACACTATCAATCTTATCAGCAGGTCAGCACATATAACCGCCACTTATCTCATGCTTTTAAAACTTATCAAATATTATTGTTGAACTTATTGAGGTTTTCTACCAATAATAACAAAACGAAACAGGTCAGAGTTCCTATCAGTAATTTTTGCATTCATCATTTCAAAAACTTTAGCCAAACAAATACGTTAGTTTTTGATTTAAAGGAAATACAGAAAAAACTGAACTATAGTGCAAATAGTGGCTATAGCAATGCTCTTGCATAACAGTGTTAATTGTGCTAAACTAATCATTGCAAAGCCTATCTACCATGGGGTTTTGCCTAACAGAGTTTATGGGCAGCTTTTGCCCACCTGTTCTTCCATTGCCCTTGTTGCAATACTTTCTCCTTTACTTCATTCTCAGTATGAAATTTCACTTCCCTGCTTCCTCCTTTATTTCTTTATTCCTACTTTTTCTGCATCTTCCTCTCAATGTAAAACCATCTCTTGTCAGTGTAAACTCCACCTATATTATCAGTTTCCTTCGACCTTACTCCCAGATACCATCAAGCTGTACACCTTCTCCATTTTCAAATGAAAAAGTGTTATTTCACTTACCTCTCAATATGAAGTGTCCCCTCCTCCAGTGTACACACGACATGTTAAAGGTTTGACAGGTGCAATGTGAGAATGATTCTGTTTTGTTTTTCAAGAAAATTGCTAAATGCTGAAAGAGGTGTGTGTATGTATCTTCCACAAAGCTACCGTACTTATATTCACTTTACAGATAGACACAATGAAACAGTTGATTTGGCTATTAAAGTGAAACTAAGAAGTGGCATTTCCATTATAAACGGATCTTTTTAATAATTTAGAACTAGGTCGGATTTCTGTTTTTTCAGTGCAATTAATCCTTGCTGAAAAAGTTCTGTGGAAAGTATCATCTACTCTGTTTCCTTGATATGTGTATACATACAAGCATCACCAAAAAAGCCCACTTTTATTTTGCTTCCAAATTTATGATACACAAATATGTGTACAGTTTAATTACTTTACACCACATGCATTGCTGTGCTGAACAGAGTAAAAAAATTCAAAATGGGAATCAGAAAGAAGGCTTCCCAAAAGTAATCCAATCTAGCTCCCTGCAGGTTTTGAAACATAATTATCAAAGGAAATCCTGATGGATGTTAATGTTACTGCAGATACAGTTATTGACTATGTTTCAGAGAGCTCTTTTTCTAGCCAAATACAACAGTCCTTCCCAGTTCCCAAACTGGCTTGAAAAGAGAGGAAAAAAAGAAGTAGGATATTTCTCATACGTTACATGATTTTGACTAATTTTTAGATTAATTTTCAAATAGAAGGACAATACTACCCTGGAAGCCGACCTAAGAACCAAGAGCTGACTCCCATTTTCTGGGTATCCAAGAAAAAAGAGTATTTATCCTTGATTCTCCCGATCAAAAACAAAGGCATACACCCAGGTTTCTTCCTCATTACAACATATGGGATCTGTGGAATCAGCTAACTGAACAGAGCAGGCTGACATCCAGTGCTACTTACCATGTCTCAAGAAAGCTTCCCGCTCCTGACAGGAAAGGGACTTTTATTAACAGCTCTATTGAAGTCAATAGGTTTTCATCTTTGGGAAGCTCTATCAGCTGGCAAATTGCCCCTTCCTTCCAAACTGCTAAGGAAATTAATGTTGTACTATTGGACAGGATCAACTGTAATAGGAAGCAACCTCTCAATATACAGATAGTTCAGGAAGATCTTCAGAATGTCAGCTTCCCCACACAGTTGCCATTCCAAACATTGGAGAACCCTATATCAAGCTGATGGCCTGTAGTATAGGATTAAAAAAGAATCGGATGAAATCAAGCATTACCGGTTTCCCACCTCCTTACATGGGAACTTGTTAAATAAAACTATAGAGGATGACAATCAGTGGGTCAACACAACACAGAAAAGGGTTGAAAAAAAAAAAAACAGACTCAGCAGTCCTTTCCAACTTTCTGTTCTCTGTCCTACCTTCCATACATGTTTCCGATACTGGCAGTATACTGTTTGTTCAGCTGAGCAACGCATGATTTTCCCGCATCTCCCAGTTTTGGCAAGGTGATTGCTGTGCACAAATACAGACATGGCCTCCACACCTCACAGCTTCACTGCTGTGCTTGGGAACATGAAAAAGCTGCCTAACTTGAGAAAGATCACAAGGGTGCAGAGTTTCCCAGCTTATGTGGAATCTTCTTGTAAAGCCAAGCAAGTGGAAGGTTTTCCTGAGAACAACTCAAGAAACACCCTAGTCACAACATTTTTTCTATAGTTGAATTCTGGTTCTTAAAATGCCTCTGCTATGAAGGATTTTAATTCCCTCCCAGCACTAAATACATGCTTAGTCTTTGAATGCAGGGATGGACCTCTACTCAGAACAGCACTTCCCCTCTTCCCATGGAAATCTGGCAGATGTAGCAGCAGATTGTCCTAAGTAATTGGGAAGACAGAAAATGACAAACCTCTATTACTCTGCAGCCTTTCCTCCTTCAAGAGGCACCACTGCTTTCTAGGTGGTATTTAGTTGGACCTTGCTTTGTTTCAAGAGAGTCTAAAGGGAACGATAATAGGCATACTGCTTGTCCCTAAGGCTCTGTCATATTTTAAAGCAAAGAGGAGGAAGAAAGGAACTCTTCTCCCTTGCTTAAGCTAGTCAAGGCAAAGTCAGTGGAAACAGCAGAAACAATCGTAGACATCATACTGTGGGTCTTCCTTAGGTTGTAATTTTGGCAATTCCCAATTAAGTTCAGGTTGCCTGTTTGGAAGGGTGAGATGCATCTTGTAAAACCTTTCATTTGAAGGTCACTAAAAAGATGCAGTCCATTACAAAAGGAATCATGCAGTGTTGCTCTAGCAGCTGATTTACCTCTTAAAAGCACGAGTGCCACCTTAATTGAAGGCTCTTGAGGGTATTATCCAGATTCAAGAACAGTGGACAGAGAGAAATAGCTATAACCTGGGATCAGACACTTTTCCAAAACTGGGGCAGAGCAACTTGACCTAGAACCTAGAAAAACAACAGATTTACTACAAGCTGGAGGAGCTCCTATTTCTTTCTAAGATCTATGTAAATTATAAAAGTTGTAGTGCAATGATGTAGTCTGTTATTGTAATTACAATGCTAATCATGGGCTTTGGAGTTAACAGTAGCATCAGGTCACACAATCAAATAGTGAAATGGAATGAAAGATAGAAAATGCAGATTATTAGAAAACTAACAGTAATTGTCAAACTTCAGAACACAAAAGCCATAGCAAGGAGTTAGGAAAATTGCAATAGAAACCTTGGTGAGAAGTTTTAAAGTTAAAAGCACTTAGTTTTGCACTTAGTGTGCCAGCATTCACTATTTACCATAGTGCCCATGCAGTTTCTTTTAATGTTGGAGAATGAAAGATGGTTGGAAATTTTAGACCACTTTCTGAATATTTCTGGTTGAAATCACAAACATGTTTGTATTTAAGGTTTAGATCCTACTGAAGTGTGATAGTGTCTATGTTGTACTCACTTTGTTATGAGTCTGTACAACTGAAAGAAATAACAGGTCAAGTAAAATATGCAATAACACTTAAAACAGATGTTGATGTAAATTCCAGTGGAAAGAAAATATTTGTTTCGATATATGCACTTTCTTAGAGCTTATTTTTCTTATATTGTGCAACTACTGTATTTAAAAGCAGTGCCTATTAAGAATTAATTGGTTTTAAACCAGTAAGAAGTGGTTCTGTGAAAGCCTGTCAAAGAACTCAATGTCCTGACTTTTAAAAATCTGTGCTGCTTTATAGGACACAAAAGCACCAACTATATGAGGGGAGAGAAAGGGAGACTATCTGACCTTTTATCTCTCTCAATATAAATTTGACTGCATTGATGCAGTCCAAATGATATAAACTGTTGAGCCAATTCTGTACTATTTCAACAGGAAAAGAACACTCTTCAACCTTTGTAACATTATATATCAAAACATTAATTGGGCTCGGTGCTTCAAAAACAAAATCAGAGGGTTATGAAAAACTGTTAGCTGCTTTTAAACCTTTTAATTTCAGCTCTGGTAATTGTTTTCCTACTGATACAATGTGTTCAAGAAGCTACTGTGCCCAGGAGAAATGCATCCTGTAGTCACAAGGCTGAAACAAACTGCTGTTTTATAAGGTTAGAGATCTGGAATATGATTTCTATTCCAGGTTAACAGACTTACATGATTTTCTGTTGGAAATTTTCAGTGGCTGAATCTGCACTTCTGGTCTTCTTAGTGCAAATCTCCTATAAAATGGGAGGTGGTAGGGGAAAGACACAAGCTCCTCAGTTTTCACTGCAAGTTTGGGATTAATAAACACTTAACATATTGAGACAATTGCAAAGTATCTAGAAGATTTTATAAGAAATTAAGTTAAAAAAAATGCATTCTATTCACAATCTTAAAAAATTAAATCCTCAGCCTCTAATTTCTGTAAGCTCTCCAAAACCTGCCACAGTTCTTATTCCTGCATAGTACATCAGTGTGAATACAGATACTGACGTGCTATTTTCCATATGTTTTTTTCTTTCAATCTGGATCAGTGTTATCCTATCAGTTTTTGTCATTATTAATTCTAGCCAGACAAATAAGGAAATCCAAAGTATTTCAGCAACAGGTTTCCAAGTTCAGTTGTCTTGCTGCAAATGGAGGTTTATCATACCCATGTAATCTATGAGCATTACGTATAACAACTATGCTAACTTAACAACTCAGCAAATAAGTGTCTTCTTTTACTATAAAAAATAATGAAACTATGCTTCTCAGTAGCTCACCTCTCCTGGAAATGCTTTGAAGGGATCAAGCCTGCTCTGGGATTGGCATCACCTTCGTGTTTGGCCTGCCACCAGGTTGCATCATCCTGGCTCATGATCTGAAGGATATCTCCTTTTCTGAAAGCAAGTCCAGCTTCTTTACAAGGAATGGCTTTATCCTCATTAGGATCATAGTCAAATAAGGCTCTGATAAACATCTGAAACAAACCATGTTTTATCTTTAGAATCAAAATACTAAATGTAATCCAAAGGTATCTCCCTTTTTTGTCTTTACTGTTCAAAACCATTGAACTAAATAATGTAAAGCAATAAACGTTTACTGTGTAAAATATCCTTATGGACATCTAACATTAGTTCATATGGGAATCTTAAATTCCCTACTTCTGCAACCACAATCCCAATGTAGTAAAGGCTCTATGATCCAAGGCAAGTAGGAATTTGCAGGTGAATTGCGTGCCCATATGGAAAACAGAAGAGAAGATACTTTTGAAGCAAGGTGCTACCAAATGTCTTCTACCCAGTGTACAATGGAAGAAAAGGAATACTTGGAAGCAAGCCAGGTCCTCGCAGAAGACAGAAGACTACTAATGTCAACTTCATGGCTGTAGAGTTAGGGCTTAAGCACCATGTTACACCCACTCGCAAATCTAGCATATGAGTACTGAAGTGTACAGTACACTACACATTATCACATTAGAAAAACTGAGTCCGGAGGCATAAATCACATTCTTGGTTCTGTCATCCAAGCAATCCATATATATCCTCAGCATAACAGTTACTGTAATAGCTTCTGAAACAGTCTTGCCTACCTTGCCTTCCTTCACTGGCATTTCTTCCTTCACACTAGGTATAATTTTAAATGTAATTGCTCCTTGAGACTGAGCCTGGTGAACATTTGAAAAGAAAATGCACTGAGAATTAAACTGTACATATCAAAGAAATCTTAAAAGGAAAAAAAAATGAAATTAATTTAAAAATACTCAAGTATAATGCATCTATCCTCTCCCACGCATGATCCATGGAGTTTGACAGCTTCACCATACCAAACTTTGCACTGCAAAGATTAAAATACCCACTTGAAACGCTCAGTTTTATTTGCTTCACTGGTGGGCAGAGAGGGACTGTTAAAAACTGGGACCTGCAGGTTTCAGAGGTCCCACTTCTGCACTGAAATCAGGAGCAAATGCTACAGCTAAAATTTACGCATATTAGAAGCAACTGCTGGACTCTTGGCACAGTTTGGACATCCCTGGAAAAATCCAACTAACATTTCATTTTAAAAAAAAAAAAAAAAATTCTAACAGGCTTGTGCCATATTTATCATAAAAAACTATTTGGGGGTGTGTGTGTGTGTGTGTGTGTGTGTTTTTCTTTTGGCAACTTTAAGAAACTAGAAAAGAGAAACATATTTGAATAGGCTACGTGTACTAAATGGAAAAAAAGCCCTCCACTATAAATCTTAAAACAAGTTAGCCGTCATCAACCACCTCATCCATTCATCTTTCCCTGCATCCCACTTAAAGTGTGTCTGGCTGCGTTTTACTTATTAACCACAATATATTCCCACTGCCTCAGTGACATTTTGCTATTGAAGGAAGTGCTAATCAGCTGGAGCCTCTGCTACTATTGCATGCAGCCGACAAGTTTCATAAAACTAGCAGAGTGCATCAGACAGCCAGCGATTTAAGCAAAATGGAAACAGGCCTGTCCACTACCAAGCGAGACATACTTCTGCCGGCATGTCTGCAATCCAAGAGCTCACTGTTTGACAAGCAGCAGCCAAGTTCTTATTTCACCAGCTGTAGGACTGGAATCAATAATTCTGTTACTTTTGAAACAAGCTCTAACTAGCTTTTGATGTTTATATTGTACCTCAAGGAAGTAAATGGGGAAATTGTTCACACCTTTTCTAGTGCTATTGTGTTTCTAGAGATTTTTAAATATTAATTTTTGCAGGAAAATATGTTTCTATAGGGAACACAAAACCATAAAGCAAGTATAAATATCAGAGGGCTAACACTTGAAATGTATCATTTCAGTTATTGAACCAAAACTGTGAGACAGCCACTCAATTCAGCAGGACAGCAAGGCATTTATGCATACAGAAATGACTACACCATGAATACAAAGAGCTGTCGCAACCCTCATTAATTTCTTTGCTGTAAAAATATTAGGTATTCCTGAAAAAGTCTAAATTACTCAATTTGCAATAGTGCTCCATAAGCCATTAGGCTGGCTTTAGAGACTGTGCAGTTCAGAGGAGTGCAAACATAATCACATATAAGTGGTATACTGCAAATCCATATAAAAATATAGTCTTAATACACCAGATATACAGTCTATCAAGAACACGTATTATGAGTGAATTTTCACACGGAGTTAATGTGTTATAAATGAATACATTTTAAATATTTTGAATTCAACAGATCACGGTGTGCCTTAAAAACTGTAGATTACACACTGAGGTCTGCAACATTCTGCAACATATTTATAGCCATATTACTGTCATTAATTGTTTACAAGTAATCTGTAATTACATATATATGCAATGCATGGGCAATCATTATTTAAGAGAAAGGAAATAGATGTTTGTAAATGCTGGCACTGGAAGACATTATTGTAGAATATATTTTTCTAAGAAATTCACCAGAAATCATAAATCTAATTACTTTTTTTTGACTCCTATAAAATATTTTTTAAATGTTTGGTTTTTAAAAATGTATTTACCAGAATCTGTATTATTTCTTCAGGTTTTTTATCATCTACAGGAATCCCATTGACTTCCCTCAGTTCATCACCAACATGAATAAGACCTACAGAAGATAAAGAGGAGCTGTTAAACTGTAGCTACGTATTATACTAAAAATGTCATTTTCAACATTTTTTTTCTCCTTTCTTCATCCCCTTTAAGCTCTAACTTAAAAGCAGGAATATATGGCGAACACAACTATAGCTACTGTCCTCACAGATAATTTTGAGATGGTTGGTTTACTCACCTCCCTTCCTTTCTCCTGAAAATTAGTACCATTTCTCTATGACTTTTGCAGACTTTTATGCAGATGTTTGAGAAACGTTGTCGTGTGCCAATTCTTTTTCTACTCATACTACCTTCTTATTGCTGCACAGCTGCAAGTACTGCAAAGATCACTTAGGCTATGAGTGCAAATTTGTGGCACAAATGCTCACTAATTTAACTATATATATATATAGATTTACTCCATTACCCCATCTAAGTGTGAAACACAGCTGTCCTAGATTCCCTTCAGTGAAAAGAGGCACTTTTGAGTAGAATTCAGGACCTCTTGCTTGAGTTCTTGCAGACTTTGAGCATCCCAAACTAAACAATAGCAGTCAAGGATGGTATTTTGAGATACACCAGCTGAAACTCCAAATGGACGTCCTAACATAAAATAATGCAACCATCCCAAGTTCCTCCATCAGCAGGTTGTAATCTTGGCATATCCCATCACTTTTAAGTGGATGTCTTCAACTGGAAACAAACCATGATATATCTAAAATACCCCCTGTATCTGCTAACTCAGAGATACTTGGTTGTAACTGAATTGGGGAAAAAATTTGGCATGAATATTTTCACCAGTATTGAAATATTACTTTGGAAAACTGTCCAGACCCAAAATATTCTTGTTTGTGATAGTGACGTATTTAATTTCTACAAAATACGACATTTTATCTCATCTTGTGCCAAGTTCTAGAACTTGAATGGCTAGTCCTAAGCAGTGACACCTTACCACTTCTATCTGCAGCTCCTCCACGCATTATCCTGGCCACCACAATTGCACCAGTATGTTCATCCCTTTTAATAGTAGCTCCCTTGGGTTAAAAAAAAAAAAAAAAAAAAGTTACTTGGCTAATCTCACCACAATTTTAATTCACTACGCTAAAAAATATTTGTTATGTAAAACTGCAAGAAGTTGACATTGTATCGATATGTAAGCCAGAAGTGATACTTGCTCATGAAAATAATATAAAAAATATGCTCCTCTATTACCATCCTCTTAAAATGTGATTTCTTTTGCATTCAGAAGTAACTCATGCATTCTGTATGTTCACAGCTTTTTAAAAAAAGAACAAATTATAGAAGTTTACTTTTCAACTTAACGTTAAATGCAGCATACCTTACTTGAGTCTGCTGCTAAAACCGTACTAAACTACTGCTGAAAACTGATAAATCATTGTTCCTACATTAAAACAGGTCATGTTACATACTATGGGTATAAAAAATTTATCTGTATTCATAATTGTTTCACTTTACACTCAGAACTGCCTGTGCACCCACTGATCATCATTTTGCTTTACAATGTTATCATTAAATAAACACGAATTTGAGAATGCCCCTGCACGTCAGGGCTCACCTGAAACACCCGTGGGACAGAAATGCAGAGGAGGGGAACATTTCCTGAGTTAGTCATGACTGTTTTCATACATTACACAAACACGGTGCAAGGCATTTAGGTAAAATGACCTCATGTAGCTAAATTTCCAGTGAACAGCTGTCTAGATGAGAAAAATGCCTTTGTAACTAGAATGGTGAGGTTGTGCTGAAAAGAGGCACAAGGTGATGGGGAAGCAGCAGGCAGCAGCAGTGACAAGTGAGAAGGGACGGGATGCGGGGGCACGTCAGGCAGACGGGAAAGAGCGAGGGGAAAAATGCTGGCCCTGCTCTGGAAGACAAAATCCACAGAATAATGAGAGGGATTTTAGTTGGGTAAGTTGTACTTTGTAATCATCTCCAAAACAGTTATTTGATCCAGTATTTTTAAAAAACACCATGAAAAAATCACCTTCTGGACAACAGCTTTTAACCTGCACACGATTACTTTGCCATATTAATGTCATTAGTTACCTGTGATAGCTCTAACTTTGTTAATCCACAGAGATGTGTAGGACTCTGGTGGGTAAGTCAATTTTTGGAAAATTTCCATACTTGTAATTAGCAAATGAACAGTATTACTTCAGCTCTGAGTACAAGATAGTACTATGTGCACTCTGCCATCACTGGTTAGAATTTCCTTCCATCAGAGAAGTGTTGTGCTTGAAGTAAGGTACCTATGTACTTTATAAAGTTCACTGAATAACTAAATTGCTTTTATAGTTACCTTTTTGTATTAGTTTAGATTAAACATGAACATCATGTTTATCACTACTTCAATTTTTAAGTGTTTCATGAACATAAAGCTGAAGTATTTACAAATGCATAACAGGGATGACATTTTACTACAGCTAGCAATTTTACTGACTGTAAATAAACTTGTTTCCCTTTCCCTCTACCTCTAAGATGGAAATACAACACAAGATATGAAGACAAAAAATTAAAGACTAATTTATTATTTTTTATATGTAATTTGTGTTTATTGCAAATAAAGAAAAACTAAAACAGTCACCATGCAATATTCGCTTTGGCTGGAACTTTAACAGTAGCCAGCACTCCACAGCAAAACTGATGTGCTGTGCTTGTGCATTTTATTTTACATCTTAAATTTATTAGTATGAAATTCTATCCATAAGCAAAGTAATTCTGCAATTTGCCAGCCTTATTCTTATGAGTTGTTTATAATGTAATTATATAGGTAAGCTTTTGTTTGTATTACAGTTTCAAATGAGTCTGAGAATTTCAAAAAGATTAAGATTTAGCTGCAGGTAATCTCACTTTAAAAACAACTCACAACTAGACTTTTGTGAAAAAAAGAACTGCATACCATTAGGAACATATTAAACAAAGCATTAAACTCTCTAGCCTGTATCTCAATATGAAGTTCTGACCTTGCAGCAACAACTATTAATTTGAAGTTTATTATTAATACCTGGAAATTACATCTGTTTAAAAGTACAAAGCATCTTTATTCTGAATATATCCATCAAAGAAAAAAAAGCAGCATTAGGATGCTAGAGCCAAGTATAAATAAAAGGCATATCTACTATATTGACCATATAAAACAGAGGCTCTCTTAATTAATCTGGGAAAAAGCCTTGAACAGAAAGGCCTTATGCCTTTTACCTAGAAGTCAACACCATTAAATCCCACCGAATGCAAAAGGCAAGCAAAGACTGGAAGCCTTCCACTGCGATCACCCTGCTACCCCAGCCCAGTGCTGATGTCTGAAAACAGGTACTTCACCTTGTTTTCAGACAGACCCCAGAAAAAAAAAATTGTGTGCAAAGATCACAGTATTGACCCAGACGGCATCTGGAAGTAACAATAAGGCTCTTGTCCAAGTGGAACGGTCACTTCATGCTCATTGAGATTACCACTACTGGCACAAAATGAATTTTCCTAGCACAGGTTAGCTGATTTGAAAGATGCTCCAGTAAAGGTAACAGGTAAATTGGATTTTTTAAACAAAGCACAAAATCAAGCTTGAATTTACCCGGAAACTGTTTAACCCAAGTTAGCTCACTGTCAGTAACTCCTCTATGGCAAACTCAAAGTGAATGGGCAGGCTCATGACAAGCACTATTTGAGTTTATGTATTTTTGCTGTATCTATAGTACACAAAGAAAGAAGGGGGTTCCTTAAATTCCCCTTCCCTCCCAATTTAGAACACTTAAAAGGAAATCAAACACAAGTGTATTTCTTTTTGAAAACCTGAAGAGCTGATTTTCTGAAAAAGCAGCTTCTCCTGTACTGCTGCCAGCCCTGCTTAAACTATGAGGTATATATAATCTGGCAAGAATTTCTCCTTATGAGATGTTCAGCTCCAGTACTTTCAGTTACATGTGCAGTGCAGCTCCTCATTTAGAGCTTTAAAAATGGAAGAAGGTTAGACTGGACCTTGAGAGCTGGAAAATATTTTCAGTGTTGCTAGCCAAAAGTGTAAGTTACCCTAAATGAGACATATACAGATGTAATAGCGTAGCTCGGTTTAAAATACTTTTAAAGGGAAAAATAAGGAGTTTGGGAGCCATATGGTGATCAGACTGAGAAAATGTTTAAAGGTATACCATGCAAAAGCACTAAAAATAATACAAGCTCCTTCAGCAATGCTCTTTCACTGTTTTTGGGGGGGGGGGGGTGGGGTTTGGTTCGTGTTTTGTTTTGTTTGGGTTTTTTTTTCTTTTTTTTTTTTTTTTCATTTTCAGTGTAGCAATACCAATTGGTGAACATCAATCAAGGTTTCACAGATGTGAGCTTTATTAGTTCATGCATTTATCTGCTGGTTCCAGAATATAAACGTTATAAGCCTTTATTTTTAAAGAAAGAATACCCTGTAAAATAAATTACTAATAAGAGAGTTTGAAGCATAAATCATATTTCTGTATATCTTTCTCTTAAACAAAAGTACATGCAGATGTTGAATGCAAATAAGTACTTCAATAAGTTTTATTTTAATTCATTCTCTGTTGAAAATGCAAATACAAATATCACTTACCTACTTTATAGTAAAGAATTATTTAAAAGTTGATGCCCACATATATGTAGACAATGTACAATAAAACTGTCCCTGCACCCAAATTAATCCCACCTATAAAATAACTGGGTTCATTCACTAATAAGAACCAAACTATGGGGACTCAGAGTGACAGGCAAACAAGAGCTGTAGAATCTGCATGAGCAGAACAAGTAAATGACTCTTAAATCACCACAATTAATTTCACCCAAGTTCCACAATGAAAATCAAGTATCTAGTTCAAGCTTGGTGTCTATGGCTCCTCCTATAGTTAATGAAAAGAAATAGGCAGCTCCAGAGAATGAATCACCCTTTTATTAAGGCAGGCATCTTAAATACATGTCATATTTCATTCTCTAGAGCTGCCTATTTTTCTCTTGACTATAGACACAGCATAGAGATTAGTTTTCAAATGGCTAAATTTATGTGAAATGAATCTGTGTGTTGAAGAAGCAACCATCTTAATGTGAAGAAGCATCCTATTCAGCACAACTGCATGACAGCTGTAACGAACTTGGAATATCATTTGGGAGCTGGTAATAGTGAGTGGCCAGGAATTATCTCCTGGTGGTGTGACATCAGGAACACTAACCAGGAACATGGCAGTGGCTGAAAAAGTTCTGGAGAGGTAGGCATAAGTAAAAACCCGCCAAGTTATCTGATAAAAAGCCTAATTATAGCCAGGTGAATTTTGAACTATTTCTGAAGAGAAATGTTTCTACTTCTCTTTAAGTAAGGTTCAGAGATGTTCTAAATTACTTGGTTCAGATAAAACCTCCTAACACAATTTCACCTCGCTTCAGTGAGACACTGGTAGAATGGCATTTGCTAATACAGCATTTAGAAAAAAACAAATAAACAAACAAAAAAACAACCAACCAACCAAAAAAAAAAAAAAAAACAAAACAAAAACAAACACTTGTGGAAGGATTAATAAAAAGTTCAAGACATCTCTTCCAAAAAACTGGAGGAAAGTTCAGCAATGACTTCTGAACTGATGAAATCTGGCAAACAGAAGGCCCTCCCACAAACCTTGTGTTTCCCTCTCTTTTGAGATGATTACTCCTGGGAACTCAGGGTTCATTAATATGTGATTAACACCAGCTCAGAACACCAGTGAGGTGCTTAACTTGGAGAAAAGCACGAACAAGTAAAAGAGGAAATGTGCAGTTTTATATAAAAATGGTCACTAGCTATATTCCAAAGATGTTCAGAGACTGCTTAATTTGCTTCATAGAGAGTACTGTTGAAAGTCATCCAAAGGAGATATCCTTCAAGAACATCCAGGGTGTGCAACTGATGTAAAGCTTAATGCTCTGCAAAAATCCCAATCTCTACAGTTTGTGTACAATTAGAGAATGAGAATGTATTTGAGGTGAAAGAAAAGTTCAAAGAGCTCAGTATCTTAAACTCAAGAAACTAGACAGTCTCCATGCCAGAAAAAATATTGGAAGGTACCTGCAATCTCAAGCTCAGTAGCAAGAATCCTGATGTAACAATGCAAGTGGAATTCAGACTTTTTGACTGGAGAATAGTGAATAGATAAACTGAACAAGTAGAGACTCTTTGATCTGTACTAAGAATATCCAAGATTTTAGAACAAGCTATGAAGGAAAAGCAATTAATAAATAAATAGAAAATGAAATTTTAAATAGCTCAGTAAAGATAGATCACGGCATATCCTTTCTTTAGTAAAGTAAATTCAGGAAGCATAAATGCAGTAGATCTAATATACCTAGTATAAACGTGTCTTTATTTATTCTGCCCTGCCATATTTAGGTAAGACCTTATCTGAATTTCTATCTGTGTTCTTCTCACCCCTAACTAAGGGTGAAAAAAAAAAAAATCTAGGGAAGACAAAGACACAAATACTAGCTTTGTTATGTATCGTGGTGACACTGTCATAATAACTCACTATAAATCTGCTACAAATAAATTAATGGTTAAGATTCATAATGTTAAAATGGATTGAAGGTGGGTTATGGAAGAGGAGGAGGATGCTACACACTATTCTTTGAAGTCCTCCTGGAGAACAAGTAACATGCAAAACAGAACACCATAAGCTCTTCTCCAACAAAAATAAAATGTCAAGACAGGCTAGGAATTTGGAAAGACCACAAATACTCCCTCCCCATACAGATAAGATATAATCTTAGAAATGTCGCTTAAAAGGCAGGTTTTAGAAGTCATTCAGGCCAACCTCTTGCTCAGGGCAGGACTACTGTCAATGCCAGATCAGGTCAGCCATTGCCTTATGGTATAAGTTGGAGATTCCACATCTCCGGTTAGTCTGCTCCAGTGCTGGACTTCCCACCTAATGAAATACTTCTGTTAATTCTCAGTCTAAACCTCCCAGGGCTGCAACTTGTGGCCAATCCCCTGTGTTTTAGCATCTTCCACTGCTGAGAAGAGTTTGGCTCTACTGTCCTTGTGAGCTCCTCAAGCTCAAGTAGTTGTAGGCTGCAATTAGCTCCCACCCTTTGCCTATTCCTAGTAACAGGTCTATCACAGATACCATTATAAGGCTGGTTTTGCCTTGGTAAATAAACTAAGCAGTCTTAAATTGAAGAACTGAGTTCTCTCACATTTTTTATATTTTCCATGGCTGCTGTCCGGTCCAGTAAAATAAAGTTCTAAAAACGCCCCTCTCTGTTACCTCCCTAGCATAAGAGTTGTGGTAAATGTGTATGCACCTTTTAAGAGATTGTACTGGTTTTGGCTGGGATAGAGTTAATTTTCTTCATGGTAGTTCATATGGGGCTATGTTATAGACTTGTGATGAAAACAGTGTTGATAACACAGGTATGTTTTAGTTACTGCTGAGCAGTGCTTAAACAGCGTCAAGGCCTTTTTTGCTTCTCACTCCACTCCACCAGTGAGAAGGCTGGGGGTGCACAGAAACTGGGAGGGGACACAGCTGGGACAGCTAACCCCAACTGACCAGAGGGATATCCTATACCATATGATGTTGTGCTCAAAAGTAAAACTGGGGGAAGAAAGAAGGGGGATGTTTGGAGTGATGAGGTTTGTCTTCCCAAGCAGTGGTTAAGCATGATGAAGTCATCCTTTCCTGGAGATGGGTGAGCACCTGCCTGCCAATGGAAGGAATTAATTGCTTATTTTGCTTTGCTTGTACGTGCAGCTTTTGCTTTACCTATGAAACTGTCTTGATATCAACTCATGAGTTTTCTCATTTTCATCCTTCTGATTCTCTCCGCCATCCCACAGGGGAAAGCAAGCGAGCAGCTGCATGGGGCTGAGTTGCCAGCCAGGGTTAAACCACAACAGACACAGAGGAATCTGGAAGAGTTTAGTATCCCACCAGAGTGAATGGGCAAGAGAGGAATCTGAGGAGCAGTACAAGGATAACCTTTGGCTTACGCAACTCTATTTGTCCCTTTCAGAGGACTTAAAATCTCAAAAGCCAATATACAATATATGCATCTCATACATAAGCTTTCAGAAAATGTCCCAGTTTTGTTTTCAGAATTGCTAACTATCCAATCCACTTTGAGATATTATTAACTTATAGTATTTAACTCACAAAAGCCTTAGTATCAAATCATGTTTGAAACATGAAACTATGTAAATCAAGATTTTATTACGATTTTTCTGACAAATTCCAGAAAAAACAGTAAGGTTGTTTGCATTAACACTAAAAATAAGCTGTTCAACTAGAACTCATTTCATACTATATGTTCAAATTTCTTCACGCCTTTCAGAATTAATACTCTTTCTAATACCAAATCGTAATGCAAGTTTTTTTTCTTCCTCAAAAAATTTCTTAGACAAAAAAAAGGAAAGCTTAAAGCTGTGATTTAAATATTTTTTGGGAAAAAAAAAAAAAAAAAGATCTAATATATTAAAACAAAGTAAAAACTTTCCGTATGGTCAAACTTTTAATTATGCCCATGGGCACCTACAGTCAGTTGATACCAAAACTTGTTTCTTGTTTATTGATGCCAGAAATCCATCAAGAATAAGAGTGATAGTAAGAGATCTAATGTGGGACAAGCTACCACTGTACATTTAACAGAGTCATTGCTCTCCCACTGTCATCTCAAGTACAAAATCATGGCTTTCTCAAAGTAACTTTGCAGATATTTCTTAAGGATTGCTATCCATTAAAACAAATATCCAGTATAACATAAAACAAAGCTCTTACTGGTTTGCAGGAGAAAAAGAATATAGTTAAATTTTATACAAGATGACTCCCACTCTACAGCAAATAAAAATAACCAAATCAGTGAAGCATTTTAATATTCTTGTAATACAACCTAGGTTTAGTCCTTTCATTTTTCCAGATATCCCCATGAAGATATTAACTTTCTAGTATTCATAATCCAAAGTACAACAACAGACATCTTAAATTTGCCCAGATTTCAATTCAAGTATTTTAAAATATGTTTTTATGCTTTCTTTTCAGTGTATCAAAAGGTCACATTTTTTTACATGAATGCTAACAGGCACAGTTCACAACAAAGGTCAAGATTTCTTTGGGGATTCATTCTCCCTCTCTCATTTTAAAACAAGTTCATGATTTGAATTCAAGATAAAAGATGAATATATTATTGATCTAAATGCTCAGACTGGCCCACATATACAATGCTCAAACACTGTGATTGAACACAATCTTTTTATTCATATCATATGCTTTACTAATAATGACTGCAAATAGAAGTCACAAGTGTATTATTGAATGTTATGAATAAGCATGCATAATGTCTGTCTATCGACATTTAAAGTTAATGTCACCCATTCGCGTTCAGAATCTGAACACTCCCCACTCTGCACACAAACACAAAACCCCAAAACAAAAGACAGGGTTACTCACCAATGGTTCCCTGTTTTTGACAAGCCTGATTATTTTAACTGAATCTTCTTCCTCATCAATATCATCAGGCATGGGGGGCAAGACAGGATCGTAGTTCTTCTGAGCAACAGTATCATGTACAGAGAGCAAAGCCTGGAAACATTAATAATCAGTATATTATTTGCATCTGAAAAGTTTATGAATGACAAAGCAGAGGACATTATTTATAACCCGACTCTACTAGTGTGATGCATGTAGATTGAATATAATTCTTGTTTACAATTTTAACACATCAAATAGATGAAATAAGTCTATAAAGTATATGTTTTCATAGACAGAATGTATGCATCTAGTAAATTGTGGATACAGAACAGTGTCTTCATAAATATGAAAATACCCAGTGCTTTTAACATTAGCTTCAAATTACAAGAATTATGAACAGGAGAAAACCTAAGTCTCCTAAAGTAAGAACATCATTCTACTTATCCCAGATAAAAAGTTTATTTGATACAGCAAGCAGTCATATGAAACAAATAAGCAACATAAGCATCTTCCAGAACTTCTGTTCAAGCATGAGATGCATGACATGAAGCTGTTACTCCAACCATCCCCTTCACAGGAGCTCTGGAAGCTTACCTGGTTACTGGATGCCTTTCATACTAGCTCCCTTTCATATGAGCTCCAATTTATCTTAGGAATTTTTAATTTATTGTGGAATTTATGATTGAGATTGAGGAACATACTGGTGAAATTCCTTGGTCAGGAAGGTGCTTATCAACCACCTGTTGCATGTCTTGCCTCCTTTTCTTTCTCTGTTGTTCCTCCAGTTCATGCACAGCTTGAACACTAGATATTTCAAAGAAAAGCCTAACAAAGCCTAACAAAAGGTTTAGTTTTGAAAATAAAATATTTTATGAACTTCCAGAAGTTCTTGAAAGTCAACAGAAGTTAGAAAGCTCATTCTAAGGCTCTAAAAAAATGTCAGCTATAATCTAAAATTCACTTCTCTGTCTAGCTACAGAACTCAAAGTTCTCCTCTAATTTTAAAAGTCTTCATTGTCTGTAATACCTTTTAAACTGGTGAAAAATGGTTAAGTAATGCTTTTATTTTGTAGCAAAAACTACTCATTATAGCAGGAATAAGAGCAACAGCCACACGTATAATTCTATCTACTACTTTTAGTTGCTTCTGTTTTCAAGTAGTTGCTCCTAATTACTTCAGTATTTTACATTTTGACCAGATATTTTTTCCCAGAGATTCAATATTACAAAACATCTGTACAGCAGAAGTACTTTGCAAACTGATAACCTTCTCTACAATAAAAATAAAGTGTTTTGGAAAACACTGAGATATTTATGATAAAGCAAAACACATTAACCTTGTAAGCACCTTGAAAGTATCACATCAATGATTGTAACAATGAAACTATTATAACAATTACAATAATGCTTAGGAAGAAATTCCTTAATGAAGAATAGAAAATGGCTACATTTCTGTGATGACAGTTTACTTGCTAATATTAGACTGTGTATACAAATTGCCAGAAACTGTATGTTCTCAAGGATAATGCAATGTTTTAAAAAAGTATGACACTTCCATTACAATATTCCAGGATTTTTTTCCTGAGTGGAGGAGACTGTAACAACAGAAAACAACTTCCAGGCAATGCTACAAGCTATCATGTCAAAAGCAGAAGGCAAAATGTATATGGCAATCTTGAAATTCTGAAGCTTAAATCTGAAGTTACGTCTTCAACAAAATAAACATAGAGTAAGTTCATGTCTGCTTCATGAGAATGTACTATCGTCTTACTAATTTCTATGCTCATTGTACAATTCAATAAAAACTTTTTAACACACTAAGTATTTCTGGTTTTCATTCCAAGACATAGTATTTGTACTATTTACCACCAGAAATTACCGACTCCCTCCCACCAAAGATTAGTTTTATTTTAGATCTGAGCTAAAAACCTCAGGCTAGCATTTATGGTTCCTCCTGCAAATGTGTATTATGAAGTATTACATATGTAAAAGCCATGCAATCACGTGCAGTCCTCTAAAGATGTATGTGAAATATCAAAGATACACTAAAACAAAGGTAGTATTTGCTTTTACTTCAGGCTACTTACAGTTAAGACTCCTAAAACTAGTCTTCTGCAATTACATTTTTCCACATAAAGCTAGGGCACAATCATGGACTGGTTCAATTTAATGAGGTTCTATATTGCAGTTTAAAAACAATCAGGCCGATAGAGAAAACAGATGAAAATAATCTAAAGCACCACTTCCAGAGTAAAAGGCAGCAACTTAAAACATGTTCAAAAGAACCTACTCTTGACAATGAAACTTGCAAAACAGATTCTGTCCACTACTACACTGAATTATGCCACCGGTGTTAATAAGATACTTCCCCTCTACGACGGCCAGATCAGGCTCCTGGACACCGCACGCAAAACCGCAACACAGCCCGAGTATTATAAGCTGATGCCAATCGATGTCTGGTATTTATGATGCTTTTCTGTACTCACAACTGGAACTTACCAGCCTCTTCCCTTCCCTTCACAAAAAACATATTAAACCACAATGTACTACAGTTTTCAATGCATATTTTATGTAAGAGTATGAATACCAGAAATTATGTGTCTTTTCTCAGTCAAGCTTCCAGAAGACCTTTTGTCATCATAAACTTGTTTATGCTGTACACTGAACATGCTAAGATTTCTTTTCTGCTTCTTTTAACACGCTACTCTGTCCACTGGAGTTGCTCTTGAAATAACCAACAGCATAGACATTGGACAATAATTAATCTGCAAACAAAGCTTAGAAAGCCATTTTGGTTTCACTTTATGTATTCAACTATAAGTGATCAGAGTCTGTCCTTGAGAGAACTTACATATGTTTTGAACGCATGAAAAAATGACCATATTCACAGAGTAAAGGGACATTTCTTCAGCAGCTTCTTTGTACCGTGCAATTAATATAATGTATGCTTAGTCCAAAAAACTATGTATCAGACTAGACTTTTACAGAACAGGTTGAGGCTTTTTTAAAAGCAAACAAATTACAGGTGCCAAGAAATAAAACTTGGATCCTATGATGAACCAGATTTACCCTGAATAATTGTGCAGTAAACACACAAGGCAATGTAACGATAGTAACGTTCTCTTTTTGTACACAAGGAGTGATCAACTTACTTCCATGATACAAATTTTTACCTATCACAAGAAACTGCAAGAAGTGCAGATATATTTTTTTATGTTTTGTTTTTGTTTTCAGATACACAGCTCTTCGGAACTATGCGTGTATGATCCAAGATTCGGGTCATGTATATTTAAGCACCTCTGGAGAAAAAGATTTTATTTCACTTCCAAGTTCTATGCTTATGATTCACTAATGTAAACATGGTCCATATTTAGAACTTGAAAGAAGGTATGATTCAAACTCCTGCACTACCTAAATATAAATATTGATGTTCAGCTAAATTCTTAGACATGATCTAGCTGGAAATGCATACTTTCATCAGACCTCTGAAACATCTAATAACTAGTGCTGTATTTTTCATATTAAAGCTATCACTGATCATTTCACAGTTTATAAATTGAAATTTTAAACTATCAACTTACACAAAGAAAATCTGACATTGGAAACATTCAAAGTTCTTTTTCTTAAACTGTTCCAAAACTTTAAATGTTTATTTAAATTGAGAATGTTATTAATGAAAACAGTTCCATATTTTGAAAAATGTGTATCATTTAACTACACTGACTACATTTTTGCTCCTCTAAAACAATGACAAATTTTATGTTATTTTTTGCTTCTGTTTATATTTTGAGATCTGTAAGAGTAAAAATACCCCCAAGTAGTCCCTGAATTGTGAACACAGCTCCTTACGTTTATAAATTCTCATTACTTTAAAAAAAAAAAAAGAAAAAAAAAATTATCAATTTAGGCTTCACATTTAAGAAATATTTTGCATTTACTAGTCTAGAAAAACATTTTATAAACCAGTAAGTTAAATAAAGAAGCAAGACAGAATGGACAAAGAAACAAAAGCAGCCTCTTATGGTACTTGAAAAAAAAGCAAGAGTAGAAAATTAAGTAATTAATATAGTCAAGATTATGGGCATAAAATTTGTAGGGACTCAAACCAACCACCTCTTCCCACCTCTTTGCTTTGTTATTGTGACTAACTTCCACTGATGCCAGCACAGAGAAGTTACAGTGGAGGAGAAAAGTAACTTCATCAGCCATCACAGCAACATGTCCCTGAACTCACCTGGCAGAGCTCATCCTCCAGAGACCTCTAGCTATATTATGTTTTCCTTTGTGATAAGGTTACAGAAGAAATACAAAAAGACAAGATGAAAAGGTTGGAGGAGAAAATTATTCAACACTGAAAGACCGATTTATGAGTAACTTGCACAAAGTGAAAATCAAGTAAGTGACATCATCCAGTGACAGATACTAAAGGAAAGCTGGAAGAGCTGGGAGAAGACTGAACCTACTGAAGGAAAGACCATCAGTACCGTCAGAATGGCAGGAGAAACATAGGAGTCGTAACAGCCAAACATGTGCAAGAATTTAGACAGCAGGAGAACAAAACCAGAATAAAGCTGAAGCATAATGGTGATGGCATACAGGCTCTAGGCACAGAAAATCAATTTGACTTGAAAACAGCTTGGAAAACAAAGGGGTAAAAATATAAGGTTTCAGAATCAAGCTATACATTTAAGAACAACTGGTAAGCAGCACAAAATTAACAGGGGAAAAGGGAAATAAGAATTTAGATGGGGGGTTGGGGTAGAGAATAACCTTTCTTCTACAGGACAATTAGTTTTTAAACCTACTATCTTGAGTACATAAACTAGATTTTACATTGATGTACTAATGAATTCCATCCCATTAATTCCACTCTTCAGCAAATGGATGGTAAAACAGCCATCAGGAAAGGGCAGTGCGTGGCAGTCTTTTACCCACCAACACTGACTTCTAAGGGAGTACGTGCAACCCTAATCCTGATGCAAGATAAGAGTTAACAAGATAAAAAGAGGGCAGGTGAGAACAGACATCTCAACTAATGGGTAAGAACAACAACATTAGCTTGGTTAAAGCGTGAGGCATGATCTAGAAGGAGAAGCCAGCAATAAACCTAC